TTCGACTAGAGAAAACGCCTCCCAAGACACCTCAGCTGAATGGACTGGCTGAGCGGATGAACAGAACTATTGAAGAAAAGGTCTGAAGCATGTTATCCAATGCCGGATTGCCGAAATCATTCTGGGGAGAAGCCGTCAAAACTGCTGTTGATTTAATCAACCTCTCACCATCACGGCCACTTGAAGGAGAAATTCCAGAAGAAGTCTGGACAGGTCGGAAAGCGGCCTATAATCAATTGAAAGTGTTTGGATGCCGAGCTTTCGTGCATATCCCTAAAAAGATGAAAGGGCAAAACTTGATGCGAAGACAAAGGAATGCATCTATCTCGGTTCATCGAAATCTGAGTTCAGATTCCGACTTTGGGATCCAATCAATAAAAAGATCGTGAGAAGCCGAGATGTGATCTTTCATGAGCATGAGAACATTCATGACATCTCGAAGCCCAAAGTCTGGGTTACTGTCAGACGTGAAGAACCCATCCCTCCTGTCTGAGCTGAAGCAGGGGGAGAAAATCAAGAAAATGAAGAAAATGATGATCAGCAACAAGCTGAAGATGACCAAGACACTGAGGTCCGAGTTGAGGATGAGATCTGGGATGAGAATGATGAACCAGGTTCTCAAGCTGAAGAACAACCAAGATATTCAACTCGAGAAAGAAGACCCTCTACGAGATACCCATCTGATGAATACACCATTGTTGCTGAAGACGGTGAGCCTCAGAGTTATGATGAGGCTGTGATGAGCTCAGAGAAAGAAGAATGGGAAAAGGCAATGCAAGACGAGATGAAGTCTCTGCACGAGAATCAGACTTATGAGCTGACTGAGTTGCCAAAAGGAAGACGAGCTCTGAAGAATAAATGAGTCTACAAGATTAAGAATGAAGAGAACGGGCTGAAGCCGAGATACAAAGCCCGGATTGTAGTGAAAGGCTGCAATCAGAAGAAAAGGAGTAGACTTTGAGGAGATTTTTTCTCCTGTGGTGAAAATGACCTCGGTCCGAACCGTGTTAGCCATGGCGGCTTCGATGGACCTCGAGGTAGAACAAATGGACGTGAAGACGGCATTCCTTCACGGTGATTTAGAAGAAGAGATATATATGGAGCAACCTGAAGGATTCCAAGCTCCAGACCAAGAAGACTTGGTATGTCGATTGAAGAAGAGCCTCTATGGCTTGAAGCAAGCACCTCGACAGTGGTACAAGAAATTTGAATCATTCATGATTGATCATAAGTAGGGGTGTCAATATGGGTTGACACGACACGAATTTGACACGACACGAATTCGACACGACACAAATACATCAACACGAACACGACACGAATTTTCATTCGTGTCAAAATCTTCAACACTGACACGACACGAATTTTTTGCGGGTTGACACGACACGACACGAATAACACGCAAAATACGGGACAAAACGGTAATTGACAAAAAAATTTAAAAAAATAGATCGAAAATAAATAAAAAATTAAAAAATAATAATAAAAAAATAATAATTAAAAATAATACGGGTCGACACGAACACGAATTCATAAACACGAACACGACACGAATTTTTTTACGGGTCAACCCGAACACGAATTTTCGTGTCGTGTCGCGGGTCGACCCGCGTGTCAAAACCCATATTGACACCCCTAATCATAAGTTTGAGAAGACTGAAGCCGACCACTGCGTATTTGTGAAGAGGTATGAGGCCAGAGATTTTATGATATTGTTGTTATATGTTGACGACATGCTTATTGAAGGGAAAGATAAATCGAGAAAAACCGCCCTGAAAAAAGCGTTGAGCTCGTCCTTCGCAATGAAGGACCTCGGCCCTGCAAAGCAGATTCTCGGAATCAAGATCATCCGAGATAGACAGAAGAAGCTACTGTGGCTAAGTCAAGAAAAATATATTGAGAAGATTCTGAAGAGATTCAGCATGGACAAAGCCAAAACAGTGAGCACCCCCTAGCCGGACACATAAAGCTGAACCAGAAGCAATGTCCGAGATCTGATGAAGACAAAGATGAGATGATGAAGGTCCCTTACCAATCCGCCGTCGGAAGCTTGATGTATGCAATGGTTTGCACTAGACCCGACTTGGCGTATGCTGTTGGAATGGTAAGCCGGTATCTGTCAAACCCCGGCAAAGAGCACTGGGAAGCAGTGAAGTGGATCTTCAAGTACCTCCGAGGTACGACCGACTTATGTCTCCAATTTGGAGAAGGCAAAACCGAGTTGCAAGGCTACTCGGATTCTGATTTAGAGGGAGACGCCGACTCGAGGAAGTCGACTACAAAATATTTGATGAGATTTGCCGGAGGAGCTGTCTCTTGGCAATCAAGACTTCAGAAATGTGTTGCACTATCGACAACTGAGGCTGAGTACATTGCTGCTACTGAGGCAAGCAAAGAAATGCTGTGGATGAAAAAGTTCCTCATGGAACTCGGCCATGAACAAGACAAGTACGAGCTGGGTTGTGACAATCAAAACGCAATCCATCTTGCGAAGAATTCGACCTATCACTCCCGCACTAAGCATATTGATGTGAGGCATCACTGGATCCGGGATGTGGTGGAAGGTGGAGAGCTCGAACTCGTCAAGGTGCACACTGACCAAAATTGGTTCGACATGATGACAAAGCCGGTTCCAGCAAGAAAATTTGATGACTGCTGTGAAGGAGCCGGGTTGATGCTGAAGCCGGCGCATTGAAGTCGGAGGGGGAGATTTGTTGGGCTTCCTCCTTCAATGCTAAGCCCAAGCCCATTTGAGGGGTTTCCTAAAAACCCTAACCCTAATTTCCACCTCCTCTATATATACTCATTAGTTGTGGGTGGAGACTAGGTCAGATTTGAGAGAACAAATTTGAGAGAATTATTTGATTGTTTGAGCAAAGCTTTATGCTTGCATTTGAGAGATCTCTAGAGAGAGTTTGAGTGAAACACCTCTAGGGTAGTTTGATTATCACCATTGTTGGAGAGGTTGAGTTAACCACCACATTGGTGTATTTGATTATTTGTAACCATTATTTTCATAGTGGATTTCTGATCTGGACTAGGTCACTTGGGTTTTTACTTCTTCATTCAAGAAGGTTTTCCCATGTTAAATCTGATTGTGTTCTTCTTCTCTCTCCTGTTTTTTGTTTTGATTTTTCCGCTGCGCTGCCTGACCTGGTGAAGTTCAGACCGAGGTATTGCCGAGATCCGGGATCAGGATCTTGTTGATTGACTTCTGCACAAAGGCTGCTTAGCCGAGCTTGAGGAACCGAGTTTTTTCCGAACACTTCCCACTTCTATGATGTTGTGGTATAGAATTTTGCTATTCTTGTAATGTGAGGTGGAACTTGTGTTCAAGGATCTATAAGATCTTTGGTGGGCGCGGCTGCATAACTTGATGAATGTAGTTAACGGTCAAACCGAGCTTTTCTTGTGTATGTAGTAATTCATGAATTCAAAGATGACCGATGCCTAATTTCAATTCTGTACTGCTCTAATAAAAGAGTTTTCTTGGATTTGAATGGTTCTGCAATTCAACACTCGTGATTTTAATATTTTAATGCTTGTGTTAGATAACTCCAAAAGACTAGTTTCATTCTTACAGTAATTGAGGACTATTTCGAGGACAACTTGAGATTTAGATAGCTTATAATGTGTTGGTAACTTGGTATATACGAAAGCACAATAGAATATGGGACATCGAAATTTAGTTAATATCACCTTTGAAAGCTTTCCGCTAATCCAAAATTTGTTTTATTATAATTTGATATTATAGGCTCGACTTTGATATAGTGACTCTTTGTCATATAAAATTTATATTTTTCAAAATAAAAAAAGTATAATTAATAAAACAATTATGTTGAGATTAAAATAAATTTGACAAACAGATAATTAAATAAATTAAAAAATGCATTATTATATTTTAAAAATTATATATATCTTAAATTCTTTTGAGCCCATTTTTTGTTTGGCGGGTTTAAAGCAGAAATCAACCAGCGGTATATGATAATTACCTCAAATTTAAAAAAATTTAAGGATAATATAAAAAATTGTTAATCAGAATTAAGAATAAAAAATGTACATGTCCAAATACAAAGGATTGAAGTTGACAATATTAATTTTTTATAATTTGTTATGAATTTAAATCTCTATATTATTTTTGTGTAATTTTTATGTGGAGTTCGTGCAAAATTTAAAGTTGAAGGGATTCAATCAGATCAAATCGTTATATTTTTGGAGAAATATCACATTTTTCCATTTTGTAATCAAAATTAATTATTATAATTATTAATTTTCTCTTTTACATTAAAGGTATTTTATATATGTTATAATTTTACCATATTATAAATGAAATATGTATATTAAAACAATTTTTTTTTTTCAATATTTCTCATGTTGTCAATTTTTTTTTAGTTTTTGAAATGTTCTTTTCTTGATTGACATTGAGAAATCAGTCATGTTTTTTCTAATACATTACGAGAACGGTGTAATGCAAATCAACATCTCAATGTTATACATATGTATTAAAACAAAAAAGCATTGAAATATCTGTTCATGACACACTGACTTCTCAATGCCAAGAAGAAAAAAAATCATTTCAAGAAATAAACATCAAAGGTTAATAGAATACGAAATATTAAAAAAAAAGGAATAATTCCGTAAATAACCCCCGACAATAGTTCAATTTTCCTTCAACAATTTATAAAAAAATGTAATGGCGACATGGTAATGCAGTGTACTGTAGTGGGTACACACACTTTGATGGAATAAACTGCACGCTATTAGGGACGCGTGGGTGAGCAATCACTTTCATTGTGTCAGAAGAGAGAACTAAGAAGAAGGGAGCATGCAATTACAAGCAAACAAGGTTGTTCTGTAACTGTTTAGTCACACTTTTGACTGTTGCTATTTGCCAACCTTAACATGTCTTCATTTCCTCTTTTCTTTGTCTTGCTTTTCCCTTGACACTTTACCTTATCATCATTCTCTTTGGTTGGTTTTGTGCTCACCCCAGATTCCAATTTGTCTCCTTTTCCTTTCTGGGTCTCCATCTCTTGGCCTTGTTTTCCTCTTTCTGCGGCGTTTTGGAGTTGGAAGTGGATGCTAAAGGTCTTGCCTTTGGGTTCTTTGCTGATTTTTTTTCTGCTTTTTTGACCTCAAATCTGAAGATTGGTGTTCATCTTTAGCCGTCAATAATCTGAGTATTTCCTTGATTTGGAGAGAAAGATGAAGGATTTTCCTGGGACACCAGGCACTGCTCTTGGTTTGACTCTAAGGATGTCACAGTTCATTTTTGCTGCTGGGTCAATTGCTTCCATGGCTACCACACCCAGTTTCTTTAATTTTACGGCCTTTTGGTAATTAAAAGATTTTTATTTTCTGAAATTTTTCATGCATTTATCTCTTTTGGTGGATTTTGTTGCATGACTGTCATATTCTCATAACACTTACTTGAAAAAGGGTATTCTAATATATTATAGAATTGTAAATAATGTGTACAAAGGGTTCTCTATTTATAGAGAATATTTGACCTACTTTTTTGGCCCAATACAACAAAGGGCTTGGCCCAATACAACAATAAATGACTAAATAAAAACTAAATAATCAATATTATTTACAACACTCCCCCTCAAGCTGAGGAATAGATATTTATCATTTCCAGCTTGCTAGTAAGTTCTTGAAATCTGTCTGAAGGAAGCCCCTTTGTTAATAGATCAGCTAATTGACGCCCAGTGAGAATGTATGGAGTGGTAATCAACCTGCTATCAAGTTTCTCTTTGATGAAATGACGGTCGACCTCAATATGTTTAGTCCGATCATGTTGAACTGGATTATGAGCTATACAAATAGTGGACTTATTATCACATAGCAGCTTCATAGGTCCCTCACATTTTATTTTGAGATAATCAAGTACAATTTTCAGCCACAGTAACTCACAAATGCCTTGAGCCATAGCTCGAAATTCAGCTTCTGCACTTGATCTGGCAACCACATCTTGTTTCTTACTTCTCCATGTCACCAAGTTACCGCAAAGAAACATGCAATAACCAGTGGTAGAACGACGGTCAGTCACGGATCCAGCATAATCAGCATCTGTGTAGACTTCTAAAGATAGATTGCCATCACGTCGGAATAACAATCCTTTACCAGGAGTACCTTTAAGATACTGAAGAATTCTCTCTACTGCCTGCATGTGTTTTTCCTTTGGATCGTGCATAAACTGACTGACAACACTAACAGCATAAGCTAGGTCTGGTCTAGTATGGGCCAGATATATCAATTTCCCAACTAGCCGTTGATATTGTCCTTTATCAACTGGAGGACTCTCTTCTTCATAACCCATCTTGTGATTCTGCTCAATAGGAGTATTAGAGGGTTTACACCCGAGCTTTCCTGCTTCTTTGAGAAGATCAAGAACATATTTTCTCTGACTGATAAAAATTCCTTTGCTTGAATGAGCTACTTCTATCCCTAGGAAATATCTCAGTTTCCCAAGGTCTTTGATTTCAAACTCAGAGGCAAGCCGTGTTTGCAGAATCTGTCTCTCCACAAAATCATCACCTGTGATAATAATATCATCAACATATACAAGGAGCACAGTAAGCTTCCCGTTTTGGGAGTGCTTGAAGAAAAGAGTGTGATCTCCTTGGCTCTGTCTGTATCCTGAGGTCATCATAACCTTAGTAAATCTTCCAAACCAAGCACGAGGTGACTGCTTCAATCCATACAAGGCCTTTTTTAATCTACAAACTTTATTTTCCCCCTTCACAGAATCAAAACCAGGCGGGATTTCCATGTAGACTTCTTCTTCTAACTCACCATTGAGGAAAACATTTTTCACATCAAATTGATTTATATCCCAATTGTAATGGGCAGCAAGGGATAACAAGATTCTCACTGTATTCATCTTTGCAACTGGAGCAAAGGTTTCTTCATAATCAATGCCATAGGTTTGAGTGTAACCTTTGGCCACTAATCGAGCCTTATATCTCTCAAGAGTGCCATCAGAATTATATTTCAGGGCATAAACCCATCTGCACCCTACTGCTTTCTTTCCGTTGGGTCTATCAATAACCTCCCATGTTTTATTTTTCTCCAAAGCATTCATCTCCTCTTGCATGGCTTGAGCCCAATTCCTATCTTTCAAGGCTTCATGTACTGATTTTGGGATTGTAGTAGAATCTAGTACTGAAACAAAGCTTTTGTGCTGCACAGAAAGATTAGCAGAGGAAACAAAGTGGGAGATAGGGTATTGAGTACAAGAGGGACATGAGGAACAAGTTTTCTTGTGACAAGATCTTTTTCCTTTTCTAAGAGCAATAGGTAAGTCATCAGAAGTAGAAGCAATGAGTAAGTCATTAGAGATATCAGAAGAAATAGACAAATCATGAGAGGAAATTATATTAGAATCAGAAACAGGAGATTCAGGAGACTCAGAAGAAATAGGAGATTCAGGACTTACCAGTGGTTCAGACGATTGGGGTTGCTGGTGAGACAGTATGGGTTGTATCTCAGGTGTATTTGAAGGTTCTGACACACCAGGAGCAGACACACTAGGAAGAGAGAAGATTGATCCAGACTCAAAGAAGGAAGGGGACGAGTCTTCTGAAGAACTATTCTCCCCCTGACGATGAGGGCCCAGGAAATAAGATTCAGATTCTTGAAAGGTGACATCCATAGAAACAAAAAATTTCCGACTTGGTGGATGATAACACTTGTACCCTTTTTTATAAGGGTTATAACCAAGGAAGACACACTTAAGAGCCCTAGGATCCAACTTACTCCGATGTTGTTTATGAACATGGACAAAGGCAACACATCCAAACACTCTTGGTGGAAGGCTCTGCAATATGGGAACAGAAGGAAAGAAGGAAGTCATGGAATGAATAGGACTGATATTGTTAAGGACCCGTGAAGGTAAACGGTTGATCAAAAAAGTTGCAGCTAATACTGCTTCTCCCCAATAAGAACTAGGAACAGATGTCTGAAAAAGTAGTGCTCTAGCAACTTCAAGAAGATGACGATTTTTCCTTTCAGCAACCCCATTTTGTTGAGGGGTATCAACACATGTGAGCTCATGAATCATACCTCTGTCTGAAATGAATTGTGACAGGCGTCGATTGACGTACTCAGTACCATTATCAGATCTGAGTCTTTTAATACCCTTACCAAACTGAGTCTCAACCATGTGATGAAACCGAATAAATATCTCTGGTACTTCAGACTTGTCTTTCATCAAGTATATCCATGTTATCCGAGTACAATCGTCAATAATAGAAACAAACCACCTTGCACCTGAAACACTGTGCACTTTAGAAGGGCCCCAAACATCAGAATGGATAAGAGAAAAAGGTTCCCTGCTTTTAATAGTGCTAGAAGGAAATGACACTCGATGGTGTTTTGCAAATTCACAAACATCACAATGAAAGGTCTCAACTGACTTATTGAGAAACAGAGAAGGGAACATAGACTTCAAAAGACTAAATGGTGGATGCCCCAGACGCTTGTGATGGAGCCAAATCATAGACTCTGTAGTAGAAGGATGACGTGTCATTAATAACTGATTTTTGCTAGCATGGTCTGGAAGGAGATGATACAACCCATCCTGTTCATTAGCAACTCCAATTGTCTTCTTCGTGGTAAGATCCTGAATAAGACAATGAGAAGGAAAAAATGTGATAGAACAATTCAAATCAGTTGTAAGTTTTTGAGTGGAGATAAGATTAGTAGAAAGCTGAGGAACATAAAGAACATTTTTAAGAAACAAGGAAGGTTGAATTTGAATGTTACCAGAACCAATAACTGATTTATGGGATCCATCAGCTACGGATATAGTATGACTACCAACAGTAGGATGATAAGAACAAAACAACTCAGTACGACAAGCCATATGATCAGTTGCACCAGAATCCAAAATCCATGAGGTTTTAAAATCAGTGCAAGAAGCAAGAAGAGATATAGAACCTGTGCTCTTACCAGATAAGATCGAAGAACTATCATGCTCGGCCATTCTTTAACAAAAAAAGTTAACAACCAGCGATAAAATCAACCAAACAAAATATCAAATGACCTCTGATAAGAAAAATAATTACAGATCCAGACAGAAGACAAGAAGACGAGAAGAATGGTGGTGGTCCGGTCCAAAAACACGGCCGTACGCGCCTCCACGCGCCGGAGAAAGGAGCTGCGCGTGGGATTCACTCGCCGGGAAAGGGGCGGCGCGTGAGAGCGCGTGGATGGGCTTCGCCGGTTGAGATTTTTCTGGTGTGGTCGTCCAGTGAGCGCGCACCTGTCTGTGGGTGGTCGCGGTTGAAAAGTCGCCGGAAAGTGGTCCAAACAGTGAAGACAGATCTGATTGGAGGCGGTCGGAGGTGTTTCGGTCGTTTGTGGCGGAGGAACAATGCGTAGAATGATAGATCGGAGGAAAAATAAGGTCAACAATGGTCCCCTTGGTCCAAAAGGTCCCCGAAAAATTTTTCCGGTGGCGGCAAGAGGCAAAGAAATTAGGGTTTTGTTAAAAAAGAAGATAATATGTGCGGAAGCAAAGCCCTCAGATCGAGAGCTCTGATACCAACTTGAAAAAGGGTATTCTAATATATTATAGAATTGTAAATAATGTGTACAAAGGGTTCTCTATTTATAGAGAATATTTGACCTACTTTTTTGGCCCAATACAACAAAGGGCTTGGCCCAATACAACAATAAATGACTAAATAAAAACTAAATAATCAATATTATTTACAACACACTTTAGTAATATGTTATCCAACTGTTTATTATTGATTCAGTTTCATATCTGTATGTATACATATAAGTCAATTTAGCCTTCTCAAGCAATTTTAGCTTATTGTCTGTAACAGTCGTGACTGGAATTTGTAATGGGAATTTGTCATTGTTGTTGGGATTTGTGAACTCTGATATCCATGAAACTTATATTTTGATACAAAAGATGTGAATTATAGTTTTGATGTGACTGAATCAAATGTATGTTGTATGAAAATTCACTAATGAGTTGTGCCAAATCAACTTCTGAACCTAATAACAGAAAGAAAGAATCATAGGATATTATTAGTTATGAGGGTGATGGGTATGAAATAGCATCTTCCCCGAGTTAGGTCCTATCTGCGTTCTCATGAGACTTAAAGTTCTTGAAAATATTCCACTAAACACTATTTGCTGGGGTACATCATTCATTCTTAAATCAGTTGTAAATAAGAAGTGGAAATCATGTGTCTGTTCCTCCTTAATCTTTACTTTAGTTACTTTCACACGGCATTGTTGACTATTTACTGGCGCACATTTTATACAAAAAAACAATCTTGATGTTTGGCAATGGACATGAAACTAATATTATTCAACCACACTAAGAAGATTTTATAGTGTTTCTTAGGACCTTTTTCTGTCAAATTAAGTGGCTAGATAAGGTGCTCTCAATGTGTGGCCTGCAAAATACTTCCCAAATTCTCTTACTTTTGTGTTACTCACTTTGGGTAGATAACTACATCCCAACCACCCATACGAGCAGTTTGCTAAATTCTGGTTGCTTGTTGGTTTTCAAACTGTTAGCACATGAATGAACCTACTGGCTACTACACCATTCAATTATGAATACATTTTCCTACTGATTTTTATGCACAAGGTGTACTTGAAGATTATGATGTGATCGAATTTTTGCAACAGATTACTCATGATGTGTGCTGTATCTCAATTCAATCAAATTCATTGGTGGATGTGTTCACATGATGTTCCCTATCTGTTTCTCTCTTATCCTGTCCCTAAAAGCCTATGAATAATACGTTTTGATCATAATTACTACTTAAAAAGATCAAATTTATCATGTTGACAGTAAATTTTAAGCTCCTTTTCTTAATCAGTGTATGCTTGGATGCTAAGAATTGAGGAAATGAAACAGAAAATGGCTATATGTTCTTTGGCTCTCCATGCAAATGGTGACTAATCTGACAGTGAAATTCTGGAAAAAAAAAAAAAAAAACTCAGCTCAGCTGACTTTGGAACAGGGCTTGGATGTGATATGGAGAAGGGTGTTGAGTATTTTGACCAAAGAGGGAGGTCTTTGGTAAAACCTCGATAGCGTGTGATACAACTGCAGACTATCCCTTCTGTTTTTTCAAATGTCTACATTCTTGTTTTTCCCCTTATAGTGATGAAAGCATGTATTTCATGAACTGTTTTATAATGAACATGATGGTCAAGAAGTTTTCTCGCGTTGTTCATCAATATCATGCTTGTATATTGGATATGTAATAAACTCAATGTCGGCTGCTTCATTCGTGTTGTAGTTACTTGATAGCTTCAATGGGTTTACAAGTCATTTGGAGTTTCGTGCTTGCTTTATTGGATGCATATGCCTTGGTGCGAAAAAAGGTCCTCCACAACCCTGTACTGGTTAGCCTCTTCTTAGTTGGAGATTGGGTTAGCCTCTGCCAAAACCTTTACGCTTACTAATTGGTTTGTTACATACAGTAAAAGTTCTGAAAATATGATTTTTCGTTTACAAGTCTTCTTGACACTGTCCACAGGTAACATCAACACTCTCTCTAGCTGCAGCGTCATCTTCAGGTGGCATCACAGTTTTGTACTTTAATGATCTGGGACACTGCCATTTTGGAGAGGAATGCCAAAAATATCAGATTTCTGTTGCATTAGCCTTCTTGAGCTGGATACCGATTGCAATATCATCCCTAATTATGCTTTGGCTATTAGCTGCAGGGTAGCAGCAGACTCTATATTCCGCCAGAATTCTCTCATCCCACAGAAGTTCATCTTATTGAAAGTGTCAATATGAAAGAAAATAGAGTAGAGATTTACACTCATTAAAATCGATTCCTTCATTTCAACCGGAATTGGGATAGCAGCAGATTGTAAAGAGAAAGTGAAAAATGTATATGTGATTTTGCCTTGCAATGAAATCAATCTACCAATAGTGCTATTTGATTTCCTGATCCTGAGACTAGAAGGTCAAAACTCTTATGTTTACAGGAAATTGGGATGATGCTAATACATGTATTTGTTGGATGGTTTTCTCTTAGCTTAGCTTACAAGTATCTGTTAGATACTTTAAAAGGGCTTTTGATTGTGTCCATCATCATTTCTGTCGATAAATCATTTTCTTAGAGCTACGAATGTTGTACTTTGTGCCTGATCCTGTATTATGTGACTATTAACTAAATATTATGGCTAGAGAAGGAACCGTGTAAAGGATTGATAGTGATGCTATTGCGCGAATCTTTTATTTGCTTAAAGAACTTGAGATTTGGTGAGGTGTAAAACGCTAATCAAAAGTTGTGACCTTTGATAAAATATAGAACGACTCACCTAAAGTTAGTGAAATATAGGACACTAACCAAAAGTTGTATTCTTGATGTACTTTCAGAACAGTGATTTAGGAAGCTAGTGAGTGGTTATTGGAAACCTACTTACGAATCGAATAAGTACTGAGGAATTGTCTTGAAGAATGTAATATTTAGCTGATTTTACGTATTAGGACCTTTTGATTATTCGTTCACTCAAAAATGAATTATTTTATCCATGAGAAACTCCATGCCTGGAATGAACCCCGTGTTCCCTACCATCATTGCACAACCTAGTTGTTTCAGCTGTAAAGTTAGAAAAGGAATAAATATAATTACATAGATTAAAACTTTTCATAATAATATTGTACCCGGTGCAGCTTATAAAATTAATACTTTTCTCTGGCTAGTTGCCATTGGTTTACCACTTGAGAGAAGTTGAAGCATGCAGCCATACAGGTCATCAACGTCATCATGTGTACAGAATAGGGCATATGGATTGCAACTTTCCAAAACTAACTGTTTTGAATTGAAAAATGAAAATCAGTGGTTTAGCATTTTGATCCTCAATTTACCTGAACTTGTGGTTACGTTCTAGAAACATGAAGCACTAAGTGACCTCTTGATGATTTAGCTTGCTTAAAGGAACACCACAAAATCAGGATTACATTATTGATTCTTTAGTGGAAATATTAATGAACCACTATGGTGTTAAGTGGAAGGCAGCATCACATCAACGTCATCAAAATAACTGATAAAATTTTAAACCATCCATTGAATGAGATGACAGGTGGAACATTGGATGCAGCAAAAGTTGCCTGGCTATTGATATGGCCTAAGTGGTTGGTAATGGTAAACTATTGCACTGTGTGTAAACAGATATGTATACTGCAAAAGAGTGACAAGAAACATGACTTTATAGTAAAAATAAATTGTGGAACACACAATGGCAATGAATCAAGGAAAGTTGAACTAATCTTTTTAGTTCAAGGATTATCACGATGTCTTTTCGAAATTAGTCAAGGACCAAAGTTTCCAAATCAATGAATTCAATTAAACAATTCAAGGAAGTGTTCTCCATTAAAAAGATGAAAGTATAACTGTTTAGATTTGTATATATACGAGTCGATTAATATAAAGATTATTATTGTAATCTGTTGTAAATAATATTGATTTAATTATTATTTAGTTTATTGTTGTATTGGGCCAAGCCCTTTGTTGTATTGGGCCAAGGCCTTTAGGTTAAAAGTATGTCACATATTCTCTATAAATAGAGAATCCCTTGTACACATTATTTACATTTCTAATATATATCAGAATACCCTTTTTCAAGTTGGTATCAGAGCTCTCGATCTTGAGGGCTCTGCTTCCGCGCCTACGAAACCCTCGCTGCCATCAGCCGCCACCGGAAAAATTTTCCGGGGACCTCTTGGACCGAGAGATCACTGCTTCTCTTTGTTTTTCTCCCATCTTCCTCAATAACAAGACCCCAAACTGAACCGTTCAACGTCACCTCCAAACAGAAGCGTTTTTCACTAACCAAGAACACTGTTCATCGCGATTGACCTTCTTTTTGGCGGCCATTCAACTCCGATCAGCCCCAGATAGGTTCGCAATCCTTGGACGACCTTCGCCTGAAAAGCCCAGCCCGATCGGACGTCAGACGTGCCTCCACGCGCCGCTTCTTTCCCTGCGCGTGAATCTCACGCGCCGCCAGCTTCACCGGCGCGTGACAGCGCGTGACGGTTGCTTTTGGCTGCGGACCGGTGCAGTCTTGACCGACTCTCCAAGCTCGTTCTGGATCTGTGCTCACCTCTTTGATCGGACCTTGTTTGGTAATTTTTCGTGATTTTTTGGCTTCTTGGTACTATTCCTTGAGTTGTTTTGCAGTATGGCCGCTTCCGACGGTGATTCAACTCTAAACTTATCTGAAAAAAATTCTACCTCATCTATGGTGACCCCTCTTGGTCACAATGATCTTCCAAATCTACATCAGAGTTATCGATTTGACGGATCAAATTATTTGTCATGGTCTCAGTTCATTCGTACTACCATCAAGAGTCGCAATAAGATTGCTCATCTTGATGGCCCTGCTCCTGCTGCCACGGATCCCGATTTTGCTGTTTGGGATAATGAGGATTCTCTTATCATGACTTGGTTGTGGAATTCAATGACTCCTGAAGTGGGTCGTCATTGTATGTTCTTGTCTTCTGCTATGGAGATTTGGGAAACTGTCCGCTCCACTTATTCCTTGAAACAGGATATGGCTGCGCGCTATGAATTGCGCAATAAAATATTCACTACAAAACAAGATTCTTTATCCGTGACTGAGTACTATGGCACCTTGAAGGAGTTATGGACTGAACTTGATCAATTTCAGAGTTTGAAGATGAAATGTACTGCAGATGCTACTGCTTTAGCCAATGAGGTAGAAAATGAGCGTATTTTTGATTTTCTTGCTGGTTTGAATTCCGAGTATGATCCTATTCGGGTTCAGATACTTGGCAAAGAAACTTTTCCATCCCTTTATGCTGTTTTCAATACTGTTCGGGGAGAGGAGAATCGTCGGGGTGTTATGATGAACCCTGATAAATCTGTCATGTTATCATCAAAAGATGGTGCTGCTTCTAAACCCACTGATGGGTCTGCTATGATTTCAACAAAAAAAGATGGTTCTACTTACAGGAGTTCCTTTCCAAAATATTCTGATGGAGCATCTTCTAGACCTAAGAAAGATGATCGCTGGTGTTCTTATTGTAAAAGAACAGGTCATATCAAGGATCTATGCTATCGCCTCCATGGAAAACAAACTGTCTTAGAAAAGATGGCAAGGATGCGTGGTCAAGCGCATTTTACTTCTTCTGATATAGCTCCTACACCTAATGAGACCCAACCTGCATTTCGTCCAGATGAGTTGGAACGACTTCGAACCATACTTGATTCTCTGAGTAAGCCATCTGGTACTAGTGATTTGGCTATGACTGGTATGAGCTCCAAAATTTCTTCTTTTCTTACTTCATGTATTGATTTTAAACATTCTTGGGTTGTTGATTCTGGTGCCACTGATCATATGGCTTGTTGTGCTGACCCCTTTGTCTCTTATAACCCTACCATTGGCACTCATACGATAGCCGTAGCTGATGGCTCCCATACATCAGTTGCGGGTTCTGGTAACATAAAATTACAGCCTTCCTTACATCTCAAAGATGCTCTTCATGTCCCTAAACTTTCTACTAATCTTCTTTCTATTCATAAAATTACAAAAGATTTAAATTGCACTGTAACCTTCTTTCCTACTCACTGTGTTTTTCAGGATCTCGCCACAGGGAAGACGATTGGGGGTGCTAAAGAGCAAGGTGGGCTGTATTATCTGGTGTCACAATCTCCTGCAACTCATGTTAAGGATCACATCTTACTGTCACATGGCCAGTCAACTGCTGATTCTCTGATTTGGCTTCATCATAAGCGCTTGGGACATCCTCCATTTAGTTTACTCAAGTCTTTATTTCCGTCTTTGTTTTTGTCTAAGTCTGTTGAGTCTTATCATTGTGATGTTTGTGAGTTTGCTAAGCATCATCGTGTGTCTTTCCCTTCTAGTATTATTAAAAGTGTTGAACCTTTTGATCTTATTCATTCTGATGTTTGGGGTCCTTCTAAGGTCCCTCATTCTTCTGGAAATAAATGGTTTGTTTCTTTTATTGATGATTGCACTCGTGTAACTTGGGTTTACTTAATGCATGAAAAGTCTGAGGTACCAAAACTGTTCTTTCAATTTTATAAAATGATTGAGACTCAATTTTGTAAAAAAATCAAAAGAATAAGGACAGATAATGGTACTGAATATGTCAATCACTCTTTTTCCCAATTTATACAAAATCAAGGTATGATTCATGAACTTACATGTGTAGACACCCCTCAACAAAATGGGGTTGCTGAAAGGAAAAATCGTCACCTTCTTGAAGTTGCTCGTGCCTTATTGTTTCAAACACATGTACCCAAATGCTATTGGGGAGATGCCATTCTTACTGCAACATTCTTGATCAATCGTCTACCCACTCGGGTTCTCGATCATGTAAGTCCTATTCATTCCATGACTTCCTTTTTTTCTTCTATTCCAACTTTGCAAAGTCTTCCTCCTCGAGTGTTTGGATGTGTTGTCTTTGTTCATATTCATAAACAGCATCGCAGTAAGTTGGATCCTAGGGCTCTTAAATGTGTCTTCCTTGGATATGCTCCTGATAAGAAGGGCTACAAGTGTTATCACCCTGGAAGTCGGAAATTTTTTGTTTCTATGGATGTTACATTTCAGGAATCTGAGTCCTTTTTCCAAGGTCCTCATCTTCAGGGGGAGAATGATTCACCAGAAGACTCATCACCTTCCTTCTTTGAAACTTCAGTGTCTACTCCTTCACCTGTGTCAGTGTCTCTTCCTCTTGTTCCTGTTCCTAATGTGTCTGTGACTGATCCTCCGATGACTGATACATCAAGTACACAAGAGATACGGCAGATTGTAACACCTGAATTGGTATATCAAAGAAGGAAACAACCCACATTGCCTCAACAGCAACCTCAATCGTCTGAACCACTGGTAAGTCCTGAATCTCATATTTCTGATCATGATACTTCTGATGACTTACCCATTACTACTGCTTCTGATGATTTACCCATTGCTTTAAGAAAAGGAAAAAGATCTTGTTCCAAGAAATCTTGTTCTTCCTGTCCCTCTTGTACTCAATACCATATCTCCCATTTTGTTTCCTCTGCTAATATTTCTGTGCAGCACAAAAGCTTTGTTTCAGCACTAGATTCTACTTCAATCCCAAAATCAGTACATGAAGCTTTGAGAGATGGGAATTGGGCTCAAGCCATGCAAGAGGAGATGAATGCATTAGAGAAAAATAAAACATGGGAGGTTATTGATAGACCCAACGGAAAGAAAGCAGTAGGGTGCAGATGGGTTTATACCCTAAAATATAATTCTGATGGCACTCTTGAGATATACAAGGCTCGATTAGTCGCCAAAGGTTACACTCAAACCTATGGCATTGATTATGAAGAAACCTTTGCTCCAGTTGCAAAAATGAATACAGTGAGAATCTTGTTGTCCCTTGCTGCCCATTACAATTGGGATATAAATCAATTTGATGTGAAAAATGCTTTCCTCAATGGTGAGTTAGAAGAAGAAGTCTACATGGAAATCCCGCATGGTTTTGATTCTGTGAAGGGGGAAAATAAAGTTTGTCGATTAAAAAAGGCCTTGTATGGATTGAAGCAATCACCTCGTGCTTGGTTTGGGAGGTTTACTAAGGTTATGATGACCTTAGGATATAGACAGAGTCAAGGAGATCACACTCTTTTCTTCAAGCACTCCCAAAACGGGAAGCTTACTGTGCTCCTTGTATATGTTGATGATATTATTATCACAGGTAATGATTTTGTGGAGAGACAGATTCTGCAGACACGGCTTGCCTCTGAGTTCGAAGTCAAAGACCTTGGAAAACTGAGATATTTCCTAGGGATAGAAGTAGCTCATTCAAGCAAAGGAATTTTTATCAGCCAAAGGAAATATGTTCTTGATCTTCTCAAAGAAGCAGGAAAGCTCGGGTGTAAACCCTCTAATACTCCTATTGAGCAGAATCACAAGATGGGCTATGAAGAAGAGAGTCCTCCAGTTGATAAAGGACAATATCAACGGCTAGTTGGGAAATTGATATATCTGGCCCATACTAGACCAGACCTAGCTTATGCTGTTAGTGTTGTCAGTTAGTTTATGCACAATCCAAAGGAAAAACACATGCAGGCTGTAGAGAGAATTCTTCAGTATCTTAAAGGTACTCCTGGTAAAGGATTGTTATTCCGACGTGATGGCAATCTATCTTTAGAAGTCTACACAGATGCTGATTATGCTGGATCCATGACTGACCGTCGTTCTACCACTGGTTATTGCATGTTTCTTTGCGGTAACTTGGTGACATGGAGAAGTAAGAAACAAGATGTGGTTGACAGATCAAGTGCAGAAGCTGAATTTCGAGCTATGGCTCAAGGCATTTGTGAGTTACTGTGGCTGAAAATTGTACTTGATGATCTCAAAATAAAATGTGAGGGACCTATGAAGCTGCTATGTGATAATAAGTCCGCTATTTGTATAGCTCATAATCCAGTTCAACATGATCGGACTAAACATATTGAGGTCGACCGCCATTTCATCAAAGAGAAACTTGATAGCGGGTTAATTACCACTCCATACATTCCCACTGGGCGTCAATTAGCTGATCTATTAACAAAGGGGCTTCCTACAGACAGATTTCAAGAACTTACTAGCAAGCTGGGAATGATAAATATCTATTCCTCAACTTGAGGGGGAGTGTTGTAAATAATATTGATTTAATTATTATTTAGTTTATTGTTGTATTGGGCCAAGCCCTTTGTTGTATTGGGCCAAGGCCTTTAGGTTAAAAGTATGTCACATATTCTCTATAAATAGAGAATCCCTTGTACACATTATTTACATTTCTAATATATATCAGAATACCCTTTTTCAAGTTAATCTGCATACGTACTTTTTGTGTGAGTGCTTCTCACTAGTCATTAGTCATTCAAAACAGGCTATTATTGTGTGAGTGCTTCTCACTAGTCATTCAAAAGTTTAACTGTTTTGGATGCATGAAGAAAACTAAAAGTAGTGTCGGATTTTTCTACAAATGATGAAGTGCATGACTACGCAAATCAAAGTGCTTGAATCTTAAATTTAATACAATATCTCAACACAGCTGCGGATCATTTTAGCAATGCACGAATTTTTTATTTTTTTATTTTTCACGTTTTTGCCTTTCCAAATTATATCCCAGTAGAAGGGATATATATGCATAATGCACGGATACGAACTATCTATAGAGAAGGGAAAAAGATGATCAAATTCAGCACTTCAATTTGTTTCCACCTCCACGTGTGGTGTCATTCTATAATTCAGGACACACAAGAAGAAAATTAGTTAAGTAGAGATTTAATTATGAGTTCCTCGTTTCTGCTGTCGTTGCAGATGAGAAAAGTTGCAGCAAACTTTTAACGTTAGGATACGGAGCCGTATCCTGGAATAAAAAAAAAACACATTAGGATATGTAAAACCGTATGCCGATGAAAATAAGTGTTGCTGCACATTTTCTCATTTGCAGCGACATGAGAGCTATTAAAGATTTAATTATAGTCTTGGTTACGTTATCTTCAACTAGCATTTTTTGAAAATGATAATTCATAATATATACTATTCTGAAGTCCAAGTCAGGAATTTTCTATACATCTTATAGGAATTTAATAAAGAACAGGATACCATCAACATGCATGCATTAAGAATCACATTCAACTATCCCATCAACTTCTATGTTATATATTTGTATGTGTTGAACTTATTGAGAGCTTGTGAATAAGTGCAGGAAAGAAGCTCATAACTAAAGTTATGGAACGGAAAAGGTTTTCTCTTGTGCTTATATACAGAGAGTTCAAGCCACACCTGCTCATGATCTTTGCTCAGGTGGCCTATACCCTCGTATATTTTATCACTGAAGCTTCCTTCAATCATGGGATGAGTCCTCATGTGTATGTAACCTATCGGCATGTTGTGGCTGGAGTTGTGATGTTCCCTTTTGCTTACTTTCTGGAGAGGTACATATACATTTATTTCTCTTCAAATGCATTCGAGAATTCAATGCAACTTCAATCAGTTTATTTCAAGCTAACAATTAAATTCGGTGTGATCATAGAACATTCATCATGTATCCGACAGTTAACTTTTTTGTTTTTCTTTCAGAAATGTTAGGCCAAAGCTGACATTTGCTCTTTTCATGGAAATTTTTGTGCTTTCTCTGTTAGGGTAAGGACAAATAAAAATGCATGCTTCTAAACTATACCTAAGTATGGAAAATTGATTTGTCTAACTTCAAAATATTCCAGGATTAGCTTGACTCTTAATATGTACTTTGCAAGCCTGAAATGCACTTCCCCGACCTTTGTTGCTTCCATAATCAACACTATAGCTTCCCTTACCTTCATCATTGCAGTGGCACTCAGGTTTGCTTTATTATTGAACTTCATGGTTTGTAGTTTTTAAACACAATCTATAATAATATTTATTTATTTTGTATTTATCCTCAAGAGAGTTGAGTTGAGTTGCATGCAGGTTTGAGGTTCTTGATCTTCGAAATCCTCGTGGTATAGCAAAAGTTCTTGGGACCTTGATTTCTTTAGCTGGTGTAATGACTATGACACTATACAAAGGACCCATTATGAGAAATTTAGGGCGTCCTCTAATCCATATTCAAGGCAAAAGTGCTTCTATCAATGAGAGCTGGTTAAAAGGTTCACTTCTTACAGTTTCAAGCTGTGTTACATGGTCTATGTGGTACATTATGCAGGTTTTCACCTTCACTCATAACTAATTATTAGTTTCCTGTGATCATTTTATACATCATGCATAAAGAATGAGCTGGCTTCAATGCAAATTTCATAGTTTAAATATTGTTTTGGATTCTTATATATTGATTATCTTGCCTCAGTGGTAATGGAGATTATTACAATTCTGATATAATTGTGGAAATTCAGGCAGCCACTTTGAAAAGATACCCTGCCCAACTGTCACTCACTACGTGGATGTGCTTTATTGGAGCAGCACAATCAGCTGTTTTCACAGTGATAGCAGAACATAATAACCCTTCAGCATGGACTATAGGCCTCAACGTTGACTTGTGGTCCACATTATATGGTGTTAAGTATAATATATAATCAGCTGATAAAAGAGTACAAAATCTTTGTACCAAAAAAAGAAGGTACAAAATCTAGAGTTCTAACGATATCAATCATTAATGGCAGGGAGTTGTCATTGCTGGTTTGTTAATCTACATTCAACTATGGTGCACTGAGAAAAAAGGGCCAGTTTTTGTCACAATGTTTAACCCTCTTTGTACGATATTAGTGGCAATTCTAGCATACTTCGTCCTTGGTGAGAAACTATATTTGGGCAGGTGATAATCCATGCCTCATAATTCTGATCATTTATCTTTTCAAAATTACAAAGCAACTATTTGCTGATTAATCTAGTTTTAACATGAATTTTTTTTCTACATCTCTTTTAGACTGCCCTGTACTTACTAATACTAGTCCTTTTTATGTCTCCAAAACACAAACGGTTAGCATTCCTTCTTTTGCAAGTTGCAGGATTCAAAAGCTAGCTCTAAAGGTGGGAGTTCCCAAGGACTTATAAACTCCACATTGAGCTAGTTTTCGGGGTGGTGTATCCCAAGGTTCTTTACAGTCTTGAAGACTCCTTTCCTCTAAACTAGCTTTTGGGGTGATGTATCCCAAGATTCTTATCACAAACATAATTCTAGAAAGTAGGAATTACTAGTTTAGTGGACAATTTTTTTATTTAGGGTCATGGAATTTTAGCTTTTAATATAGGAAAAAATATTTATTATTTTAAAGGATATAGAGTTGTATCCTTTTAAGTGAGAGAAAGACACAAACTAATATTTTTTATTTAAAATTTTAAATTAAAAAAAATCACTCACTCTTTCTTTCATAATTTTCATTACTTGTGTTTTTCTCTCAGTTAAAATGACACAATTCCATATCTTTTAAAAGGAAAAATACCAAACCTATTAATATGTGATAGTATCCTTTTGCCAACATAAAGTGGCTAGTAATAAGCACATATATAATTTGTTTAACATAAAAGGATTTATATATCTCTATCCATGAATTATAGTAGATGACATTATGTATTAATGCTTTTACTCGGCCCTAAGTTAAGTAAATCATGCAAATTTAACATCAAGTATATATTCCTGGAATGAGAATTATTATAATTCTGAAATTTGCTTCTCATAAAATCATCTTCAGCATCATAGGTGCATTCATTGTCATAATTGGTCTGTACTTGGTGTTGTGGGGCAAAGAAGGGGACCAAGAGGTTTATGTGAAGACCAAAGATAAACCGCAGTGCAGTGGTGAAGACCCAGAATGCAGAATATAGCCAAAAACAATAGCTGGAAAGGAGGAAGTGCACATCCAAGTGGAGGAAGACAACTATATATATATATATATATATATATATATATGAAGATTCGTAGTCATCATGCTTAGAGGATTCCTCGTCTGAATAAATTTCTTCTTTTATAAGAGGAGAGGTGGGTCTGAATGTATTGACAGCTGAACTTGTTTACAAAATTAGAGGGAAAAAAGGTTTGGAAGACAATGGAGACAATACAGAAATATAGGTAAACATAAATTGACCCTAGTCCACGCATGTATTTATTATACTATAGAGTAGGGGTGTAACTATCGTAAATAATCAAATAGAATAATTTCAGTGTTTTAAGAAAGTCTATTTAAAATGTATCATATGCTTTTTTTTATATGCAGCAACTATAAATTTACATATCATCTTATATCATATTATTTATTTTAAATAAAATAAATAAGTTATTATTATAATAATTTTGAATAATAAAATAATATTATTTTAATTATTAAATATCTAATAGACTTAAACAAACTAATAAGCTTAAATTAAGATTTTTATTTTTTAAATATAGGTCAGACCAAATCAATAATTTGAACTAACAATCAGGTCACACCTAAATTATTTTACACACCACTGACTTATTTAAGTAAAAGCTCGTTCCAGCTCATTTACACCCGTGATACAGAGGAAAGAGTATACAAATACAAGTGAATAATGGTCCATTCATCATCCCGCTCCAATCAATCACCAATTAATCATTTTTTAGCAACATGTCGCCAATTAGGAAAATACACGTAGAAATAATACAATAGCGTAACTATTACTTGGAATCAATCTTCTGTAATTTATTTTTATTCTAAAATATGAAGAAAATGATATGAAAATGTATTATCAAAATTATAAATAAATAATTTATGAAAATTTTAAAATAGACATTCTTAGGAATTGTTTTTAATATATATGAACAATTTATCATTCAAATGATCAATAATATCCAAGTATTAGCTGATGAATAACTACTTATTGATTTAGTCAACCAATTGAGTACTGGTTAATTATCCTAATTAAAAGTATTATTACCAAGAATTATTTCTGAAGTTTTCTTTAATTTTTTTTTTATTCTTCATAAAGTACTGAAGAATAAAAATTAAAAGTTAAAAATCTTTAGTCATTTTCCATAATTTTCAATTTTCCACAAAAAAATTAAGGTGAAAACATGAACTAGCTGAAAGGTATCATAGGTGCAAATAAGAAGAATAGAGAGAAGAAAAAGTGTGATATGAGATATAAAAATAATTCACAGTACGTAGTTATTACAAGGAGATTAATATGTAACTAATCACAGCAGCCTCTGATTAATCATCAACTAATTAAGACATGTGTAACTATCCTAACTGTTGGGTCCAGAGTTATGAAAACAGAATCAAGCAGTTAAAATAGAATTAAAAATAGGAGATAACACGACATTTAATATGAAAATTCCTCAACTTAAAAGAAAAATATCATAAATAAGAATAAAAAAAATTCAAAAAAAAAGAAATTACAACTTCCCAGTAATACATCTCTCTATAAAAGAAATAGGAGAAATACTCACATGACAGTAAATTAATTTTGTCTCTAACAATGGATTGATGAAACTAATAGAACATACATGTATTTATAGGTGAGGTGAGGATCTCGTCCAATTTTCTTTCACACCATTAATCATGTCTATTTAAAGATCAACCATCTTTATCTCAAAGTCAAAATTGTCAACCACCTTTACTTTATTATTTCCTTCAAAGTCAAAATTGACTTTACCTATTTATTTTTTTATAGAATGAGACTGGAACATTGGTAAATATGCTACTTTGTGATAAAAAAAAATTATTGGTTAAAAAAAACAGCATCTTTACGGAATATGTGAGGATACTACTGTCCTTTTTCTTTTTTTACTCTACACTTACCAAATGAGTAAAGCAGTTGTTACCCTTAACACTAGTTAGTAAGCTAAGATAGAACCTTCATCTTCTACCCCTTTCATATAACTAAGTTATAATTTCCCCTAATGCATTATAAAATTATTCGACTAACTGCCCAAGAGTGACAAGAAACATGACTTCATAGTTAAAATAAATTGAACACAGAATGGCAATCAATCAAGAAAAGCTGAACTAGTCTTTACTTCAAGCATTATCTTGACGCCTTTTCGAAATTATTCAAGCATCAAAAACATGAAGTTTCCAAATCAATGAAGGATCATCAGTCTTGTCTTATTATATCAATACTATCCACATCATGCATTAATTCAATTGAACAATTCAAGAAAGCTTTTCCATTAAGAAAGATGAAGGGACAAATGTTTAGATTTGAATACATATATGAACTGATTAATATAAAGAAATTATTATGGTAATCTGCATACATGTTGTGGGCTATTATTGTGTAAGTGCTTCTCACTAGTCATTCACTTGAGTTAAATTGTTTTATATGCATGCAGTTTAGAGAAAAGAAAACTAAAACTAGTGCTTGATTTTTCTACAAATGCTGAAGTGCATGACTACGGAAGTCTAAGTGCTTGAATCTTTAATTTAATACAACATCTCTAACAAGGCACGAATTTTTATTTATTTATTTATTCTTTGGAAATTAAATCCCATCAGAAGAATCAATCAGGCAACATGAGAGGGGACAAAAGAATTATATTGGTGTAGTGAGCTTACGTTTGTATCGTTTGAGATGATGAAGTATGTCAGTATAACGGTGCTCTTAAAGGTAGTAATATAGACTAAAGCTCTGTGAGGGAGTCACCATGTGTATTTCATAGGTGGCTGAGAGAGAGAATAATGTTATGGGTACAATGATTCTATATTTTGGAAAAATAACAATTTATAAATGCAATGAATGTAAGATGTTTTTTCAATGAGTGAAGGAAAAATATTACCCTAATAATGAGAGAGAGCTACAACTGTTCTTCCCAGTGTCCTCATAGCTGCATGTGCGTGAGGTAACACACCTCAAATGAGCAAGAGGTGAGTTGTATAGGGGTGAGAGATTGTTGGGGAACCATTTGCAAGGTATAGTCCCATATTGGTCGTATGAACAACTAATATGGAGTTTATAACGCCTTGAGTACTCTTACCCTTTGAGTTAGTTTTTGGGGTAATACATCCCAAAGTCTCACAGAAATTCTCTATTATGAAAGTCTAAAAGTCTCACTTTAGTGAGTCAAGGATGACCCCTAAAAAGGCCTGTGAGAGGCTGGAACACAACATGATTCTTTCAAGATCAGCTGCTGCTGAAGTTTTCAGCCATATTAAGCATAGACGTCAAATATAGAGAACGGCAAAAAAATGATCAAATTCAGCTATTCAATTTGGCTCCACGTGGGATGCTCTATACTTCAGAACACACAACAAATAAATTAGTTAAGATGAGATTTACTTATGCTTTTGGTTATTCAACGAGCATGTTTTGAAAATGATAATTCATAAATATATACTTTCTTGTATTCTCCACATGCCTGTTCTGAAGTTCTAGTCAGGAATTTTGGATACATCTTATGGAAATTTAATAAAGAACATGCATTAAGAATCACATCGTATGTGTTGAGCTTGTATGCAGGAAACAATTTCATTAGTAAACAAATGGAAGGGAAAAGGTTTTCTCTTGTGTTTGGGTACAGAGAGTTCAAACCACACCTGCTCGTGGTCTTAGTCCAGGTGTCCTATACCCTCACATATTTTATCACTAAAGCTTCCTTCAATCATGGGATGAGTCCTCATGTTTATGCAACCTATCGGCATGTTGTGGCTGGCGTTGTGATGTTCCCTTTTGCATACTTTCTGGAGAGGTAAATTTATTTTCAAAAGCAACCAAGTTCAATGTTGTGGCTAACTGTTTGTGAATGTCTTTAATGCTTGTGTTACCCATCTCTTGTTCCTGATCAATTTCAATCTGTTTGTTTCAAGCTAACAATTGAATTTGGCATCATCATAGAATATGTATCATGTATCTTACAATTAGCTTTTTGTTTTGTTTTACATGCAGAAATGTAAGACCAAAGCTGACATTTGCCCTTTTCGTGGAAATTTTTGTGCTTTCTCTGATAGGGTAAGGACAAATAAAAATGCATCCCATCCTTCTACACTACTATACACGTAAGTTTGGAAACTTATTTGTCTAACTTCAAAATTCCAGGATTGGCTTGGGTGTTAATATGTACTATACAAGCCTGAAATACATTTCCCCGACCGTTGTTGCTTCCATGGGCAACACTGTTGCTTCCCTCACCTTCATCATTGCAGTGGCACTCAGGTTAATTAGCTTAAAACTTTTGGAGCTTTTAAACACAATTTATAATAATATTTACATTTTTTTATTTTATCACAATGGGAGTTGATTTTTCGACATAGATTGAGATGGAGATGGTTTGTGCATGTATAACAACGTGAACACCTCATGTACTACAGTAAATATAGAAATTTGTTACCAATAACTTGACACAAAAAGTGGAAAGAGTCGGTAGAAACATAGGGAAAATTAGTAAAACAAGACTTCATATATTGAACGCATGCAGGTTGGAGGTTATTGATCTTCGAAATCCTCGCGGTATAGCAAAAGTTCTTGGTACCTTGATCTCCTTAGCTGGTGGAATGACCATGACACTATACAAAGGACCCATCATGAGAAATTTATGGCGTCCTCTAATCCATATTCAAGGCAAAAGTGCTTCTATCAATGAGAGCTGGCTAAAAGGTTCACTTCTTACAATTTCAAGCTGTGTTACATCGTCTATATGGCGCATTATGCAGGTTTTCATCTTCCCTCATAACTATTTATAAAGTTTCATATGAACATTTTATACGTCCTGCATATATAAAGAGAAAGAGCTGTTTTCAATGCAATATATGTTCATAGTTTAAAACTTGAAATAACGGAGATTATTATAATTATGATATAATTGTGGAAATTAATTCAGGTATCCACTTTGAAAAGATACCCTGCCCAACTTTCACTTACTACGTGGATTAGCTTTGTTGGAGCAGCGCAATCAGCTGTTTTCACAGTGATAGCAGAACATAATAACCCTTCAGCATGGATTATAGGCCTCAACATTGACTTGTGGTCCACATTATATGGTGTTAAGTATAATATATAATCAGCTGATAAAAGAGTACAAAATCTTTGTACCAAAAAGAGAAGTACAAAATCTAGATAGAGTGTTCTAATTTCTAACGATATCAATCATTAATGGCAGGGAGTTGTCGTTGCTGGTTTGATGGTCTACATTCAACTATGGTGCGCTGAGAAAAAAGGGCCAGTTTTTGTCACAATGTTTAACCCTCTTTCAACGATATTAGTGTCAATTCTAGCATACTTCGTCTTTGGTGAGAAACTTTATTTCGGCAGGTAATGATCGATCGATGCCTCATAATTTTGATTTTTCTTTTCGAAATTACAAAACAACGAATTGCAGATAAATCTAGTTTTAACATGAAGAGTTTTTTTACATCAGTTTTAGACTGTCCAATTTTTACTAGTAGAGATAGGATATTATGCATACATATTTTTATGCTTACTCCACCCGCTTTTCTTAAATTAACCTTCACTCTTTCTCTCTCCTCTTAAAATTTTGATTTAATGATATTAACAAAATATAAGTAAAAAAGACATGAGAATAGGTACACACGATATCTTATCCCTTACTAATATTAATCTTTTTTATGTCTCCAAAACATAAACATTAACCTAAAAAAAAGGAATTTATAGTTAGCGGACAATTTTCCCTTTGAAAAATATCATTATACTTTTACAATAAAAAAATAAAATACATAGAAATTTGCGTTCCGTGTTTGATAATATTTAGTGTCATCCTAATTTGGCTTTTAAATGTAATAGTAACCTTTTAAACATCACCAACAGAAAATAGTTACTAATGAGTGGTAAGCACATGTACAATTTGTTATCTTACAATGATTTACATATAGCCTTATCCATGAAATACAGTATGTGACATTATTTATTTCTTCTTTTACTCGGCTTTAAATTACGTAAAATCCTGCATATTTAACATCCATTATTCCTGGAATGAGAATCATAATTCTGAAATTTGCTTCTCATAAAATCATCTTCAGCATCATTGGTGCATTCATTGTCATCATTGGTCTGTACTTGCTGTTGTGGGGCAAAGAAGGTGACCGAGAGGTTTACGAGAAGACCAAAGATAAATCGCAGTGCAGTACTGAACAACCAGAATGCAGAATATAGCCAAAAACATTAGCTGGAAAAGAGGAAGTGCACATCCAAGTGGAGGAAGAGGAAAAAAAAAAACATTCAAGTCGTGAAGATTTGTAGTCAGGTTTTGACCAAACATTTTTGTGCAAAACAAAGCCTTCACTAAAGATTTATCGCTTTCCAATCCTCTGAAGTCAGACATTAAGTAAGTAGAAGATTTTTGTAATCTATATTTTACAAAAATGATTTACTATAAGAAGTTATCAGAAATACCTTACCAGCACAAGATTTTAAAATTTAAAGGAATTACCACAACAAATTATAATAATAGGTACTATGAAGGAAGTGATCAACAGGAAAATTTGAAATGGACATCACTAGTTTTCATGTCATTGCCATCAAAGAATACTTCTAGCCTATTTTTCCACATTTATTAGCTAAAGTAAATAAACCAGAAAATTAGAAGCATTGACACTGTTTAAATGTCAATACTTCAGAGGAGAAAAAAAATGCCATACTAAAAAAATGCATGTAAAATCATCTAATGATCAGTAATACGAGTAAACTATGCAGCAGGAGGCCTGAGCTCATGATCTTGGGATGTATCACGGGTAGCTGGGGGAAGACATTGCCACATTGGGATATAACCATAGTTTGGAAAAACAGCCATCTTTTTGACCCCTGCTTGAAAAGCAGCAACATTGGGAGCCATAAACCCTGCAGGTGAAACCGAAAAATCTTTCAACTGCCTCTCGATCCTTTCTTTATCTGCTTTCAAAACAAGTTTCTCTTCACGAAGATCGTTTTTCTCTACCTGTTTTAGAAGAAAAAATTATATAATCTAGACCGACAACAACCTCCAGCAATACAATACTAAATACTAGGATAGTTTGAACGATTCGTCCCATTAAAAACGTGACATTAAATCAGAATAACTATGCTTACCTAGCAGTACAACCAGCAGTCAAAATAAATTAAAAAATAAACAAAGGTGAAATAAAGGAGAAAAGGATTGCTGATTATCATAACAAATAATCTATGATGTTTCTCCTTTCAAACAGACAAAATCCTTGTTATTATTTTCTTGTCTAAAAACACTATATAATTAATTTTAAGATATCTTGATGGAAGTAAGTGAAATTATAACGAGCATGACATGAATGATATAGTTTGTTAAAGTTGTTAAGAGAAGTTATAGTTTGCTAGTTAGCCCTATAACTGCAGTAGCAGAGATAGGATATAAGTGAATACAGTTAGTTGGTCGGTTTGTTTCAGAAGAGAAAGACCTGGCTCTCGATGGGGAAGTTTCCTTTTGTACACCATTCTTGCTTTTCTGATCTTTGGATAGCCGTTGATCCAGAGTTGGAGGAGAATATTCATAAATTCCAATATTTTCTTTCTGTTATTCCGAAATTTCTGGTCCGGTTCTATCCATCACGTTATCACCCTTGATTTTAGGGGCCAATACTTCCTTTAACTCATCAAACTTGATAGTTAACAGTTTTCTAATTTTTTACTCTTTAACAGACCTTAAAAAGAAATACTACAACAAAAATTTTAATTGATTTTTTCAGAGTTTGAAGTTCTATAGTGCCTTTTATAAAATAAAATCTTCAATGCTGCAATAAAAAAATAATTTCTTTATTTGTGATCATTTTCAAATTTGTCTGATTTTCATAGTGTGTTTACAACTGAACATGATAGATGATAAAACATAACTAAGAAGTTAAAATGTCACTGTCTCTAATCAACTGATTTATCATTGACCCTCTTGAATTAGGCAGCAACAGCAAAATATGCAATGTTGATGAGAATAAAGGTCGCATAACTTACTAGAATGTAGGGCTAAAAGAATGAAAATATCAGAACAGGGTATGTGTCAATCAACAAAATAAAAAGAGTCAGAGGAAGTTTTAAGAAAATAAATCAACGATATACAAATTTAATTAATAAAATGATGTCTTTATGATAGAATTTTTGTTAAATTAGGTCACAAAACTGTGTTGAACTGAATAATTACTAAACCATGTTTCTGAGACAGAGGTTGAATTTGAACTAAAATAGAAACTAGGACAAAATTACAGAGAACAACATCAAAATCTATGAAACATAAAATCACCGCTTTTGATCCAAGGAAAAAAACATGTTCCAAGAAAAAAACATGATAAGAGAAAAAAGGACCCTCTATACGATAAAAGATATGCCCACAATATCTGCAGCAAAACTTTTCTATTGTACTGTAATTGATTAGTACTAGCTGCTTAATTTGCAAAATAGTGATCACAATTTGTTTTCTCCACATGGGAAGGGACCATCTCGGTTAATGATTTGTTGGTGTGCATTCCTACATCTACAGTACACATCTAAAATCATATCATTTTCCTAATACTACTGATCAATCTCACTAAGTTTAGCAGCGCAAATTAATAGATCATTTGATTGAAAATGAAGCTGAATGTCCTCTAAGCTTTCGTTATGAACAATGAAAAGAGAAGGAAAGGAAACAAAATCGTTTAAAAATGAAGCTTCTAGCAGTTGCACCAAAATGAAAATAATTTTCTTTCCATGAACATTCTTTGAGATTTCAAGATGGAAGCAGGTAACCAAAACAAAATTTCAAAGAAAATTTATTCAAGGAATAGAAATAAAATGAAATATACAACTAATTACCATAAACGGTTGAGACAATGCTAACCTTTGAACATTTTATTTCCTCTAATAATTTTTCATTTGTTTCTTTGAGTCCCTGAGCTTCAGTTTCAAGTTGCTTCAAGACTCTGATAGCATCATCAAGTATCGCCAGCTTATCAGTTTTGACAGGTCTCCAAGGTTTCAAGACAGAGCTCAAGTCACAAAATCTGCAATAATAAAAACCAAGTTATTCACCATTATCAATATCATTGTAAGAAGTAATAAAATACAACCAAAAAAACATTGAGGAGGTGTTTGGTACACAAGTGTATTTTATTTCCATGCATCTTGGATACATAGGCATAAGAAAAAAAGATTATAAGTATCTTAGGTCCTCATGTTTGGTATAAAAATTGAAAGTTATCAAAGAAAGGATAAAATTGGTAGTTTATGAAAGTTGTTATAGCATTTTGCTCAGAGATGTCAGATTCCCAGCCTCCGGGATATACGAAATACTTGCAATTGGTCAAATCCTAGCCTAACAATGTTGTAATTTGTAATCATATACCAATTCTCCAAACAAAAGCATTTAAAATGAGTGTACAAAGTGCTACTTAAAAGTTCGAAGCGACAAGAAACCATAGATTAATGTGCAGAGAGGATGTTCTTAATGCAAAAGTAGAAAAACTCTGTTCAGCACAAACTACAACAGCTTAATGAAAAGCTAAAAATGCAGCTTGTTAAAGACTAACACGGAAATGACATCAATCATAAATTTAATATTTAGAAGCATGCGTGCCTTTCATTGAGTCTCTCCCTCCGCATCTTCTCGCGGCAAGCTTTTGTTCCTGCCTCGCTACATGAATTAGTGCGACCCCTACAAATAATTCCCAGGAAATTTATCACAAAAAATAAATAAACTTTAAAATCATTCGAAAGATAGCATCATAATTCCAAGACCAAAACAAAATAGAAAAGTGGTAAACAGCCAATCCATCTATTAGATATGAAGTGGAACCGAACAAGGTAAGAGACTACAAAATTCATGTAATATCATTATGCATGATTTGAAGTTTATGTGTTCTTATCAAGGAATTGAATAACATAATACAGATATTCTAAGTCTAACTAACCAAAATCACATTTCCACCCATTTTTCAAAACATTGATTCCATCTTCAAATTCTCAGATTTGATCACTTCATACTAACAAAAAAGATACCTCTTCCTGGTGTTATTTTGAGAGTCGACAGCACCGCCACCTGAAAATTCAATTTCCGTGCTCCCACTGGCAAATTCAGAATAAAAAAAAGGGTTGTGTCATTCAGCCAAATGAACTTGCGAACTATTAATTTAAAGTGAACAACCACATTGATTACCATAACAAAAGGGTTAAAAAAAAAAAAAACACTCCATTTTACGATGAGGAATAAAGCAAAGCCTTATAATGAGCAATTATATGAATCCAATATATTTGTTTTTTCATCAAATTACAAAATTAATAAGATAATTGTTGCAAAACAGCATTATAAATGAATCTATGAACAGAAGAAAAATCATAAACAAGGACATGAAGGCAAGGGAAAAAGAAAATTTAAAATTAAAAAGAAGAAAGCAAACCTTTGATTGGACCAAAGGAAATCGGCGGGGGCAGGCGGGGAACCATGGATGAAATTGAAATCGAGAAAATCCTCTAACGAATCCATTTGCGGTTTCGAATTTCCACGAAACCGCGCTACGTTGGTTGTTCGAGACCCTGATTTTGCAGCCAACAAACATTAATCAATGTCACTACCTCAATCAAAATTGTGAAAAACATTTCTTTCTTTTTGTTTTTGGAAAAAAAAAAAATTACTTTAAATGCAAAATCGGCATTTTAACAAAGTATTATTATTATTATTATTATTGGTTTAGTAGTGTGTATCGTTCAAATGTATACAAATTGTTGTTTTAGTGACATAGAGTATGACCGCTAATTTTGAAAAATTGTTTTTTTCTCACTTTACACGTCAGCGATCTGACTGAGGAGAGAAAAAAAAATAACTTTTCAAATTTACACAAAATATGACCGGTCATACTTTGTGTAAATCATCTAAAAGGACACAACTTGTGTCCTTATAAATGATAAAAAATTTTCCTATTATTATACTTGCTATCATTTTCTTTTACTATTTTTTACTATCAACTTTAGTACGACTGAATCAAATAAATTAACAGCTATAAAATAACATCAAGTAAGAGCTATTAATTTAATTTTGTTTCAAAAATAACAAAAATAATAATAAAAAGTGGTAAAAAAAATGATAAATATAGCATTTTCCTATAACAAATTAATATGGAATATTAAATAACAAATGTTAGATAATTTGTTTTTTCCTCTTTACAAATTTTAGTATAAATTTACACTTCCACATAATTTTGAATGTATTTTTCCATTTATCAAAATCTATATAATAAAACATTAACTATTCTATACATAATTTTTTATCAGTCAAATCTAAAAAATGTAGAAATAAAATTGTGCCGTATTACTTTTTACGTCATTTTTTATCAGTCAAATCTTGCTTGTATGTAAACCTTGCTAACTCAGAATTAAACCTTAATTTGTTTAATATTATATTCTTGATTAAGTTAAAATAAAAACCAAAAAAACAATTGACAAAAAGTTGTCATTAATTTTGAACCATTTCAAACTGAATACGTGTCAAACCAGGCAACGTTTTTCTTTTTTGTAATGTCTGCATGATACAGAAGATTTAGGTCCATCCACGTAACATGACTTTGACCACTAAAAATGAACGAGATCAAATGATGTTGCTGTGTTGCTTACACATAGAACATGATTTAGTTCGAGACTTGGAAAGTAATGTAGCCTCCAAACAAACTTTCATTTTGAGTCCTTGCCTTTAGACTTTACAAGGTGTTATTATGCTACTTTTCTACAACAAGAACTGCACTATTCACACACAAAAAGTGGTTTGCATACACCAGAAGGATTTAGAGAAGATGTAGGATATGATGATAAATACACAAAAGACAAAAGTATAAGGAATAGTATTGTGTCATTTGATTATATATATCAGAATCTTGGTACAATATTATTTATGACTTTGGTGAGAAGTAACTGATATAGAGGAAAGCAGAGAATAATTAGATGACATTAGCCTCATGTTTTAGTTTGTCAATCAGCTCATCCACAGAAGAAACAATAACCCCTGCTTTTCTCTTGGGAGGTTCTGTGACTTGAACAATCTCCAAATCAGATTTGATTTCCACATTCAACTCCTCCGGAGTGAATTTTTTTATGGGCTTTGACTTTGCTTTCATTATGTTGGGAAGAGTAGCATATCTTGGTTGGTTCAGTCTCAGATCAGTGCTGCAAGACAAAAGGCTCAAAATTTACAAATCAAGGAAGGGGAAAAACACTACTTTTAAAATCATCAGTTACTGCCCTTCCCATGTCTCCCACCAAAATAAATAAAATTAAAAATAAAATGACACTGAAGTGAGAGATTACTATTCTCTCACATTTCTCACGTATGGGTAACTTGAGAAATTTCTCTGGTGAGTGAGATGCTGAGTAGATTGGGATTATAGAAAGTTTGAATGATGGAACCAGTTTTTCCATTAAAACTAAAAGAAAAAAACGTACAATAAATAGACACCAGAAATATTCCAGTGCAACAAATCCCTATAATCAGGGAAAGAGATAAAACTAGAAAACTGAATCCTATTTTAACTAAACAGGAAAAATATCAGAAACAAACTAATCCTAGGAATTTAAATAACAAATAACGAAACAAACTCCTAAGATTAAGGAGGAAAAATAAAACATTCTAGATGCTGAAAACTAGGGATTGCAACACTCCCCCTCAAGCTGGGTGGTAGATGTCCAGCATTCCCAGCTTGGAAATTAGTCCTTCAAATTTAATTCTTGATAAAGACTTGGTTAAGATATCAGCAATCTGGGACCCTGTGGAAATGTGACTTAGATCAATAATATTTGCATCAATTTTTTCCTTGATGAAATTTCTATCAAGTTCAACATGCTTGGTACGGTCATGATGGATTGGATTATTGACAATTCCAATGGTGGCCATGTTATCACAGAAAATCTTCATAGGATCCTTGTATTCGAGGTGTAGCTCCTTTAGGACTCTTAAAATCCACATTCCCTCACAAGTGCCTAAGGACAATGCCCTGTATTCGGCTTCAGCACTGCTTCTGGCTACCACAGACTGTTTTTTACTCCTCCAAGTGACCAAATTTCCCCACACATATGAGCAATAGCCTGTGGTTGATCTTCGATCGATAATGGATCCTGCCCAATCAGCGTCCGTGTAAATCACAATATCACGGCTGGAATTTTTCTTGAAGAACAATCCTTTACCAGGAGTCATCTTTAAGTATCGTAGGATTCTGTAGACGGCTTCCAAGTGCTCTTCATTTGGGCTGTTCATAAATTGACTGACCACACTCACAGGGAAACTAATATCAGGCCTAGTGTGGGCTAAATAAATGAGTTTTCCAACTAGTCTTTGATATCTCTCAGTGTCTACCGAAGCACATTCTTGTTTGAGTCCTATCTTGTAGTTCGCCTCCATTGGTGTATCAGAAGGTTTACATCCCAACATCCCTGTTTCATTCAGCAGATCAAGAGTATATTTTCTTTGAGAAACTGAAATTCCTTCCTTAGTTCTTGCCACTTCCATTCCAAGAAAATATCGTAATTTTCCAAGGTCCTTGACCTCAAATTTGTGAGCTAACGTCTCCTTTAATTGCTTTATCTCATCCTCCCAATTACCAGTAATCACAATATCATCAACATAGACAATTAATATTGTAATTTTCTGATGAGGTGCAGTTTTAACAAACATAGTATGATCAGTTTGACATTGGGAGTACCCTTGATTTTTGACAACTGCAGTAAACTTATCAAACCAAGCCCTTGGAGATTGCTTCAAACCATAAAGGGATTTTAATAATCTACATACCTTTCGAGATCCTTGACCATCTTCCACTCCTTGGGGAATTTCCATGTAAACCTCTTCTTCTAAGTCACCATTTAAGAATGCATTCTTCACATCCATTTGCCAAAGGGGCCAATCTAGGCAAGCAGCAATGGACAAAAGAATTTTAATTGAATTAAATTTTGCTACTGGAGCAAAGGTTTCCTGGTAATCAATGCCCTGTGTCTGAGTGAATCCTTTGGCCACAAGTCTTGCTTTATGGCGATTAATACTCCCATCTTCATTATATTTGATGGTAAAAATCCACTTACAGCCAACCACTGATTTTCCTTGTGGTAAGGTAACTATCTCCCAAGTGCCATTTTTTTTGAGTGCATGCAATTCATCCTGGATAGCAGAACACCATTCAGTAGTCTTAGATGCCTCAAAGTAGGATGTAGGAATGGTTTCCTTGTCAATGTTCTTGACTAGATGCTGCATCCTGGAGGAAAGATTAGCATAGGATATAAAATTACAGATGGAATGACTTGTACATGTCCTTACCCCCTTACGAAGTGCAATTGGCATGTGCAGAGCATCATCAGAACTTGGCAGCAAGGATTCAGTTTGGTCAAGTGCAGGACTAATGGTTTCTTCAGTTGGACCAGGAGCCAAGGTAATCTGTTTGTCAACATGTTCAAGCATCTCAGAAGCTGTTCTGTATTTGGGCCGTCGCGTGTAGACTTGCAGGGGCTGCTGTTCAGGCGGTTTCTGGAGCGGGCCGGAAGAGGATAAGCCATTAGATGAAGTGTCATTTTCCTGAGATTCACCTAAGACCGGTGTAGGGGCTGTTGAAGCAGAGTTTTCTGGAGTATTAGTCACAAACAACCATTCCTTGGAATTAGGGATCTCCCCCTGAATGGCGGTTTGGGAAAAATAAGGCTGATGTTCAAAAAAGGTGACATCTTTAGTAATGTAGAATCGATGTGTGGCTGGACTGAAGCATTTATACCCCTTCTGAGTAGGGGAATAGCCAAGAAAGATGCCCTTAAGAGCCCGAGGATCCAATTTACCACCTTGAGAGTTATGAATGAACACGGTGCAACCAAAAATTTTTGGTGGGAGATTTGGGGTTAAGGTCAATGAAGGGAATGCAGTGAGGAGTGTTTGGTAAGGTGAGGAGAAGTGTAATACCCGAGATGGCATGCGGTTGATAAGGTAAGTGGCTGTAAGAATAGCTTCCCCCCAATAATTTTTGGATGTATTTGAGGCAAAGAGTAGGCTACGAGCAACTTCAAGTAAATGGCGATTTTTTCTCTCAGATACACCGTTTTGTTGTGGGGTATTGACACAAGAGCTCTGGTGGATGATGCCATGGTCTTTTAGGTAAGCTGAAAGGTCCAAGTTAAAATAATCACGTGCATTGTCAGATCTAAGGGTAAGGATTTGGGTTTGAAATTGGGCAAGGATCATTTTGTGAAAGACTTTAAAGGTGGATGTGACTTCAGATTTATTGGCTAATAGGTACACCCATGTCATTCGAGTATGATCATCAATAAATGTGACAAACCAACGAGCACCCGTAAGGCTTTTAACAGTTGCAGGTCCCCACACATCACTGTGGATAATGGCAAATGGTTTAGAAGGAACATGCATTTGTAAGGGATAACGAGACCGAGTTTGTTTTGCAAGTTGACATATATCACATGAAGGAAAATTCGAATTCTCATTAAATAAAGAAGGGTACATCTTTTTCATATATTGAAAGTTTGGATGCCCTAATCTAAAATGCCATAAAAGAGCCTTATTCAAATTGCTAGTTGCTGCAAATGTGCTGTCTTGAGTCTTCATAACCGCGGCTGTGTAAAGTTGATATAAACCATTAGAGACCCTAGCACTGCCAATCGTCCTCCCCGATGCCAAATCCTGAAAAATACAATCAACGTGGGTAAATTTGACTGTGCACTTTAAATCCTTGGTCAATTTGGTAATAGAAATTAAATTGCAGGTAAGAGATGGAACGTAGAGAACTCCAGTTAAAGATATGGTTGACGATAGGTGAACAACACCAATTCCGTGAACCTTGGCTAAGCCTCCATTTGCTGTTTTTACTGATTTTGCCTCGAAAATGGGAAAGTATTCAGAAAGAAGAGAGGAATTACCAGTCATATGATCTGTAGCCCCAGAATCTACCATCCAGGAATCACATTTATCAAGATCGGATTGGAGAGCTGTATGGAATGTACCTGATTGATGACTATCAGATGAGGGATTAGATTTGTCCTTATTGCAATCTTGCAGCATGCGTTGTATGGCTATCACTTGTTCCCTTGTAAATGTATGGCCTTCGGATTTTGCTTGCGGAACATCTTCTACAACTGCAGCAACATGATTAAAGTCTCTGTTTTGTCTTGGCTTCCAATCAGCTGGCTTGCCATGGATTTTCCAGCATGTATCCCGAATATGCCCAGTTCTGTTGCAATGGTCACACCAGAGCTTACCATTTCGCCTAGGTCTGGAGTCTGCATTGTTGGGTCTAGAGACAAAGGCTGCTGCTTCCAAAGGTGCATCAACTTTTGGGATGCTATTGGTCAAAACTTTGCGGCTTTCTTCCCACTTTAATTCAGAAAAAACTTCTCGCAAGGATGGCAGAGGGCGAGTGGCCATGATGCGGCTGCGAGCTCCATCATAGATTGGATTGAGTCCCAAAAGAAGGTTGTAGGTGCGGTCTTGTTCAACAATTTTCTTATACTGAAGAGTATCGGCTGGAGTAGTCCATTCATGTTGATCATAAAGATCCAATTGTTGCCAGAATTTTAGGAGTGAATTATAATAGCTGGTGACATCCTTGTCCTCCTGTTTGAGATCACGAAGAATCCCCTTGATGTGAAACAAGGCAGCTGTGTTATCTTCCTTAGAGAAGGCTTCCTTCACGCCATCCCAAATTTCCTTGGCTGTGGAGCACAACATGTATGTTTCAGCTATTTCAGGCACCATGGAATTCAACAACCAAGACATCACAAGGTTATTTTCAATGGACCACTTCTTGTATTGTGGATGACTGGTTTCCAGAGGAGCAGCATCACCCGTACCGGTGAGATGATCTCCCTTGCCACGGCCTCCAATGAACATACGAACGCTGCGTGACCACAACAAATAATTGTCTCCATTGAATCGATGACCAGTGATGACTAATGCTGGACTATCGTTGGTAATGACAGCTGCTGAGTTGTTGTTGGTTTGGTTTGATGCTGAAACATTGAGTGGGGTTGTTGTTGGAGTGGTATTTGTACCGGTGGTATTGGAAGAAGTAGTTTGGTAGGCTCTCATGGTGCCAAAGAGTGGCACATTGGTAGCCATGGGTGGATCAGTCCCTTAAAAATCAAGCTCTGATACCATATAGAAAGTTTGAATGATGGAACCAGTTTTTCCATTAAAACTAAAAGAAAAAAACGTACAATAAATAGACACCAGAAATATTCCAGTGCAACAAATCCCTATAATCAGGGAAAGAGATAAAACTAGAAAACTGAATCCTATTTTAACTAAACAGGAAAAATATCAGAAACAAACTAATCCTAGGAATTTAAATAACAAATAACGAAACAAACTCCTAAGATTAAGGAGGAAAAATAAAACATTCTAGATGCTGAAAACTAGGGATTGCAACAGGGATTACCACTGAAATTTCTCCAGGTCATACATATTTGAGAGAAACCACATGTGCAACTATCAATATCCAAGTATTTTATGTAATGATGCACATATTCATGCAACATATATCATCAAACTTAATTTGGAAATGAAAACCTCATTTAAAGCACTTTGATAAAAGAAAATAGATCACATGTATTGTGATAACATAAGTTCCAAAGCAATGTTTTAATCAAGAAAACCCATCCTCTCGCCATTTCTCTAAAAATACCAGCGCTCAAATCTCAAATGAGACATTAGCTCTGGCATTTTTATCGTTAGAAAGTAATTATTATGTATAAGTCGCTACAAAAAATTAGTTAAGGTGCAAAATGAATTATATCATTGAGCACTTTTAGGTCAATATATTGCTCATCCTTCAAAGGGTGCAAGAAGCGGGTAGTTGCCTTAAAATCAGAAAACTTTTAGGATCCTTATACTTTCAGCAAGGTTGCTTGGTAAAAGATAATCGTATATGAACAATCAAGATTCTTAAAATAATTGCAATAATAAAGATGTGCATCCAAAAGCTATTTCAAGAATAGTTTCAAATGAATCACAATTGGAAGATGACACAGTGTAAATGTTAAACAAGAAACGCTTCATGTTTGCATTCAGAAAGTTGGTAAAGTGAAGGGTACAATATTTCATGTTTGCTGATAATTTTGCAGAAAGTTAAAAAAAAGGTAAAGGATTTCTCCAGTCACCGGAGATAAAGTTATCTCCAGTGAGCTCAAAACGACGTCGTTTTGGGGCGGAAATCAAGGTGTTTTTGTAATTATAATATATTGCAGGGTTGTATTAGTCTTTGTATTTATAATTTTTTAATCTTATAACCAAAACGACGTCGTTTTGAGCTCACTGGAGATAACTTTATCTCCGGTGACTGGAGAAATACTTTTCCCTAAAAAAAATCATAACTGCAAAACCAAAAACAGAAAATGAGAAAACATATCTACAACACCTATGAGTCCCCATGCAAAAAATAAAACGAAAACTACAATCCAGAAATACACTACATTTAGCATGACGTTTTCCTTTCTTTCAATCACACCAAGTGCAATAAATGAGCAATATTATTTTAAGAGAAAGCTTGCTTACCAATTTAAGAAAAAAAAAGTTAGGTTTAGACAGGAGTTAGGGTTGCTTCAGGATCCAATGGTTAATTTAAATTTTAATTATGAAAGAAATGAAAAGAACGTAGAAAATTAAAAAAGAGAAAGGAAAATTAAATGCATCTTAGGTCACCATGTAATACAGATATGCCCAAGCCAAGAGAGAGCAAGAAAAAAAGGCAAAGCCTTTTAAGAATCCAGATAGGTTTGATACAGCATTCGAAAGTGACACTCACGTTATTACTGCTGGTAAGTTCAAACACACAGTCTCAATACCATCATCAACCTCTCTGTCCACCGTGGCTACCTGTTTTTCTTTATCAAGGACAACCTACTGGAAAGCAGCAGTTAGTTATAAAATAATTTAATCAAAAGAAATAGTTTAGTATTTTAGCCTAAAATGATTATTCAATACTGTAACTCAACTGCAATTTTTCTTGGGTATCTTCTCTAAACTAAATCTGCTGCATATGACTACTTAATCAACAATAAAGAAATTTTACCAAATAAAAGCCTAATTACTCAAATTCAAACCTAGCAGATAACCAATATACTACCTAGACAGCAAAGGGACAAATACAGATAATTCATTCCAAAAGCAGTGGCCTAGCTCATCAACTTGGTCAATAATTTCTTAAGTAACAGTTGGACACAAAAGAGACAACAATGACGAAACTCTAATAAAGTCCTTTTGAAAGAAAAATTGATGTGAAATGATGGCAAAAGGTTTGATCTAATAAGGAATCAAGGATAAGTCCTTTTAACAATATTGAAGAGATAACAAGAAACACATTTCAAACTCATTAGAAGACTCCAGTCCTTCTAAAGAGCATAATTCCAAAAGTTATCTGCTATACCTGAGTGGCCGAGCCATTACAATTAATGCCCAATGGTAGAAATCACTCATACACATACATAATCTATTACATTAAGAGCTTCAGAGTTCCCTAACTGGTTTCTTTATTTCTAATCTGACTGACTTATAGCATGTTTGATTTAGTCTTTGGAAATCCACAAACCATGGTTTTGGCAAAAGCTTGCTTCTTGGAGGTTGCTGCTTTTAAACATGCTATTAATGTTTTGTTCTAAATACATATCCAACTTAAGGTGTCATGTTTATCTACCTGATCTAAAATAAAATGCACAAAAGATGTCACATGACTCATATTTAATGAATTCACAAAAGACTCGGTGTTCCTATCCTTGTAAACCAAAGATGGACGGGACAATGCTACACAGAGGCAACAGCATGCAAACATAGACCCTAGAAAAAACATGAGAAAATTCAATCAACAGCTTTGTATTTCTGAAGGAATCCATTTGGTATTCAAAGAGAACATTTACCTTTGATCAAACAGGGATGAAGAATGGAGAGAAGTAATAATTTTAATACATAGTGCTAACGTGATATGTAACTTATAGTCATCGAGGAAATGAATAATAACCTTGTTTACTGAATATGCGGATGATGGACTAACCTTTGAAGCAAAAGTCCCTTGAGGCCAGTTGAGGAGTCCTGCTAACATCTGCCCTGTTTGATTGCAATCATCATCAATGGCCTGTAAAAAATCAAGGAAGGGAAAAATCACTTAATTGTCAACATTACAACAATCATCCAAATGTTCTCGTTAGATGAGTTTCAAATGTATACATCAAATATTAATTTAGTGTAGAAATTGTTTTTTTTTTTTTTTCTTCTGCTTCTGTTATTGCTTCCGAGGAGAAGCACCAATTTTTTCTGTTATCCTTGGAAAACACCTTCATAATTTGGTCAAACACCTCAAAAAATTTAAAAGTGCTTTCTTACACTAAAAGCCATCTTTTGTTGATTTCATAGCTCGGCCAAGAAGGCTCATTATGTGTTTTTTAGTATATCTCAGCAAGAAAGAGATCCACTATGGTTTAGCATCAACATAACCAAAATTTCCAAATCATCCAATCGCCATAAACTCACGACCCCAGGAAAATCAAATAATTAAACAACTAAATTCCCAAAACCACCCCCACGAAACTTCTCAATTTCCACAAACACCCCCAAAAAAAACACACACAAAAAAGAAGAAGAAGGGGGAGAATACCTGTTTGCCAAGAATGACAAGGCCAGGTTTCTCAATCTCCACAAGCTTTTTGAAAATCTTGGCAACGGAGAGAGGGTAGAGGGAAAGAGTGGCTTCAACATGGATGGCTCTATCAGCTCCCATGGCAAGACCAGTTCTGAGAGTGTCCACACAGTGAGAGGGTCCCATGCTCACAGCCACAACCTCAGAGGCCAAACCAGATTCCCTGATTCGGAGGGCCTCTTCAAGTGCAATCTCGCAGAAGGGGTTCATGGACATTTTCACGTTCTGGGTCACCACCCCTGTCTGCAAAAACGGTGTCTTTTTTAGCCATAGAGTGGAAATTCAGAGTGTACAGAAAAAGGGTCGTTTCTGAGATTCTTGTAATTTTGGCAATGGTGTTGCTCGGTGCGATGCTTACCTTGTCGGGTTTGACTCTGATTTTGACGGCGTAATCGACCACTCGCTTTATGGCTACCATTATCTTCATCGTGGTGATGATGGGTGTGGTGGTACCGGTACCAACTGTGTGTTTTTCTATGGAGCTGGAAACAATCACAATACAACAGTGTGCGTGTGCTGTGTCAGAGACTTTCCTGGAAACGAAAAATTCTTCATTTAATCTAAGGAATTTCTACTAATTACTAGGTTATTTTCGGGAGAAAGATAAGAGTGAAAATGGAAATGTAAGGAAACAATTATTTATTTTAATAATCTCATTTTCAGATTGTTAATTAAACGTTAAAATTAAAATCTCAATACATATATTTTGATGTTAAAAATTAACATCCTACCAGGTTCTTCTCTCTGTAAAATTATCGTATTTTGTAATGGAAAAGGATATTCTGACAATTAAGTTATGTTACTATCAAGTGACTACCAATCAATCTTATCGTTAGATTGATTATATTGATCCAACGATTATATTTATTTTCATCTTTGTATGGTCATGATTCCTCAAATTTAATACTTTATATTTATTTTCACCTTTGTATGGTTATGATTTCCCATATTTAATGCTTTCACTTTAAATATGGGGAATCATGACCATACAAAGATGGAAATAAATATAACTGTTGGATCAATATAATTGATCTAACGATAAGATTGATTGGTAGTCACTTGGTAGTAATACAACTTGGTTGTCACAATATCATTCCCCTATTATAATAAGATGAAAATTTGCCGTCAGTTTGTCCATGCTGTGTGGAACCTAATATTTAATAATACACAATTATATATGACAACTTTTAAGCATTTATCGTAAAAATTAATGGGGAAAAAATATGTAAGGGTAGTTTAGATAACTTTGTCTAATGTTCATTGAAACGATGTCGTTTTGGGGTTAAAAAATAAAAAAAAACAGAATGATAAAGACTATTATAATCTTGAAATAAATTAAAATTATAAAAACACTATAATTTTCACCTCGAAACGATATCGTTTGGATAAACATTAAATAAAATTATATAAAATAACTTTAGAAAAAACAAAAGCCAAAATTAATACGGACAAAACTTTGAAAAGTTCTTTAAGTGCTTGTAATACTATATTTTAATAAGCATGTATTATGTGGGTTATTTTTTAAGTTATTATGATTGAGGTATAAAAAACAATGTGTGTGTGTGTCATGCTTTATTGCAGAACAGCACCACATGCTTTGTTGTTTGTACCCTCTCGTCCTCCTTATGTTAGTTATTTACACAGCCTTCATTTTCATGGATTTCTAGTTTTTCTTAATCTGGCTTTTAAACTCAAAAGAAATACAAGAAATAATTGCCATGTCAAGGTTGTTGATGCAGCAGAGGCTTTGCATTTGATCTTATCTTTGGGGGTGAATGTTTATCTTATACGGCACGTTGAGGCCTGAAACGACAAACATAAGTAAGAATACACGAGGCCTTCCATCTTTATCCCATGCATTGACCAAGTGGGTCTTTTTGTAAACTTAAGTTATATCCTACACAATTGCATCCTAAAGACATGTTTGGATGAAATTTTTTTCAGTCGAAAGATATTTTTTTTTCGAAAAAAAAAACTCTTTTATTGTAAAATGTATTTGGATGCTTACTTTTAAAAAAAAACAGAAGTCATAAAAAAGTTAAAAATATACTTTTTTCATAAGCTAAAAATTTTAAGCTTTTCAAAAAAATAAAAGTCAAAAGCCAATTTTTTTTTCAAAAAATAAATATTTTTTTTAAAATCTAAATAGTTATAACTTTTATAAAAAACACTTTTAAAATAAGTAGGACATAAAAGTAGCTTTTTTGATAAGTCTATCCAAACACACACTAATATACATATTGCTTGTCATTTGTCACCTTCCACTTAAGTTATGGATTGTATGTACATTAATCTCAATTTAGGATATTCTCTTTTATGATCATTTCAAACAATTGATTGAGATAAGATTAGTATTTGAAAAAATATTTTCTCATGTTGGATGAGAATTCAATTTTCATGCTGTGATTATTCAATTTGCGTGCAAAACTTTCTTTTTCTTTTTCTCTTTTTAATAAATGTGAGATCCACCACTAGTTGAGTCACAACATGAGAATTCAATTATGATGTAACATGAATTTTTACCTCAACTTATGAATATGATATGGGTTCACTTTTTCTGCAGTTACTGCAGATAAGTTATCTGCAATAAGTCCAATACGACATCGTTTTGGGGTGGAAATCATGGTGCTTTTATAATTTTAATTTATTTCAGGATTATAATAGTATTTATATTTATAATTTTTTAATATTTCAATACCAAAACGACGTCGTTTTGAGAATAAATGCAGATAACTTATCTGCAGTAACTGCAGAAATATTTTTCCCATATGATAATGATTAAACCCTCTGAACTTGCCCCTGAAAAGAAATTTGGTCACCTTAGATCAATTTCATTCCTTTATGTTGTCATTTTTTTATTTGAAATATTGTTATACAATATATTTATAAGGTCATATATATTGATAAGGTTAGATTTAAGAGACTTTCATGAAAAGATTTGTGAGGAACATTCATTAACCAACTTACGAATGTATTTTAGAATGGGAAATATAACTCTCATATTAAGTGAGAGGAAAATAATTTCATATTATCATACATACTTATTGATTTTTGAGCTGTCCTTTTTTTTTAATAGTGGAGCCTACAAAAATATGTATATGCATGAATCAAAATTTTTCTTCTAAAGTAAGCCCCTCTTAGAATATCAATATTCTAACTCTTCTACCATGAGATTCATAAAAAAGTTTTGAAATTAAAAAAAAAAAAAGCACTAAAATCATGAAATCAGCAATTTTAATATATTGCTGGTTCATAATAACATTTACAATATTGTTTTTTTCAATTTATCTAACTCAAAATATTTTTTAAACAAAATAATTAATTGAATTATGTAAAGTTCTCATTAATTTTTCTAATTATTAGCACTGCTTATCATAATATACGCTTGAAACTTACGACTTAAAAAGAGATTTATGTTATACCTTTTTTCCTTTTATTTGTCTTGCATACACTAGTTATCAATGAACGAATGAAAAAGGACCCTCGGAATAAGTTGACTAATGGGTCGGGCCAAATCGCATTGAATAATTGGGTCGGCACAGTTGGGCCGAATTAATTTTGAGATCAAGCTAACAAATACTATTTAATATTTGGACCTAGCCCAATGAGCCTGCCTGGCGGGCCAGACCAAAATTAAAAGCTCTTTTAAAATTATTTAAAAACAAAAAACTCCTCGGATAAAAGTTTTTTTTTTTGATAACATTAAGGGGCGAAGTCCCATCCTCGGATGAAAGTTAAATCCTCTTAGGCATGTAAAACTGAGATTGAGAAGCTTGAAAATGTGAAGATTAATTTTCCTCTTTTGGGGATTTAGTTTTTAAGGAGGGTTATATTGACAAATTTTTTTTTTTACAAACTTACAAACTATACTATGTTAAAACTTTATTTAAGAGTATCTCACCAGTAACACATAATTTGTAAATATAACTTTTCTCTTAATTTTTTTTTTTGAACTTTTTGTTGTGTTTTTTCCCTTTAACTTTTGACAAAAAATGAAGCCAGCCAACACCTCACGGGGTTCCTAAAATTTGCAACAGATCTTGTAGCCCCTGCCCATGCTTATGTGCACATGACCTTGAAACAGTGCCGGACTTGAGAGGACTCTCTATTATGGGAAGAATAACAGTGGATGATTTGGACAAAAGTTCCTAGTGCTCTATTTTTGTGTGAAAATTCGTGTAAAATAAGTTGTAAAATGATATTAACATCGAGTTTAAATATGTCGTTGAGCTTAAAAGCAAATTAATTATGTGGAGACAAAACTTTTTGGTTGGGAAAAATTATTAACTACAATGATGAACTACTACCTAAAAATTTGGCTGTTCTTTCATTAGTTGTGTTAATAAAATATTTCAACCACAAATTAATGATTGATTCTTACAAGCTGGAAGCAAATGAAACCGTGGAACAAGAAAGAATCACCAAACCAACCAAATATGACCAAACTTTTCCTTCCATCTACCAACATTACAACACACACAGACAGAGTGTGTACAGAAATGTAATCTTGGTGGTTGTGTATTATTTTTCAATGGAAAAGGACCCCTGTCTATCTTTTAACATCAATTCTGGGACACCTTTACCTATCTACTTTATTCACCCTTGGATTCTCCTTTTTGGTAATTGGTCGACTTTTCCATTTCTTTTGCTTCATTTCCTACTAGTACTCTTCTTTAAAGTCAGATTCCTTATTTCCCTTTTTTGATATTTCTAGAGTAAGACATGGAATAACTTAATTGATTCATAGCGGGAAATTTTTTTCTTTAAAAAGCTAAAATATAATGATTTCAGCAATGACTTTCGTTATCATGTTTGAAACAGGCTATAGACCTGAACTCCACACCATGCCATTAGATAAACTCAGAAACATAAAAGAGAAAATTATGGTTTCAAATTAAAATTAAAATCCAATTGAATTCTTGTGTGTCATACAATCCTATGACCTATTCATACATCTAATATTCTATCTCACCCCCATAAAGAAAAAAAAAAGAAAAAGAAAATTCTAAGAAACTTGCAAGTTGCAAACATAATGAAAAGTGAGGAGGACAAAGGAGAAATTTCAAGGGTCCAAATAAACAGGTTGCACAGAACTTCTGGATCTACTTCCATGTCCAAAAGAAAAGAAGGATCTCTTGGCTCTACCACTACCACTGCATCCTTCAATGGAGCTTCCCTCATTGACTTGCCCTTTGTGCTGCTGCAAAGCTTCTTGAACTGCTAAATAGAACTGTTTATCCCCTGATGAGTCCATGGAGAAAGACCTCCTGATAGGTTGGACTGAGAACTGTTCATCTTTGGCTCTAATATCAATACACTCATCCCCCATGCTTGTCACTTTATGCAGCTTCCTTGCTTTCTTCTGCATACTTCTCTGCTCCAACTTCCTTTGTAAAGGACTAATAGGACATGTTGGTAACTCCAAACCATTGCCTCTTTCTTGTCTTCCTTGCAATATTTGGCCTCTATCATGACCATTACCCAATTCAATCACAACAAAATCTTCATCACCACCAATGAGGTTTTCAATAGGTGGGTTTTGATCTTGAGAGGAAGAAATCCTTTGGGTGAGTAGCTGATCAATGTGGAATCTGCTTGTCAAGGAAATACTTGTTCTACAAAGTGGGCAATTTGCATTGTTCTGAAGCCAAACATCTATGCAATCAATGTGAAATACATGGCTGCAATTTGGTATAATCCTGAGCTTCTCATCTTCTTGAAACTCATTCAAACAAACAGCACATTCAAAGTAGCTTCTTTCTCCAATGTCTCTATTCCCTTCTGTCTTGTATTGAATCACTGGTATTAACCGGATCACTGCCTCTTCTAGTCCACGAGGTTTTGTGCCTGGTGTGTATATTGTTGTTGGAACTTCACGCCTCCTAGATGTAGAGAAACGTCTTAGAAGATCAATACGGTGCCAATTGAGGCAGCATTTGATCACAAAGATGTAGTAGCTCACTAGCAAGAAAGCCGTAGCCATTATTCCTATTATAGCAATTGCAATGATGGGGAAACTAGTGCCTGAAGAATGCAGATGAGGATGAAAGATTGAACTCCCTGGACTTGTCATTGGAGAAAGAGCTTGAGAACCATATTGTGTCACATGGATCAAGTGTCTTCTGCTTACAAGATCCATACCAGATGTTAAAGAAAATGCAAACAAATGAGGTGCTCTCAGCAATACAAGAGTTTAGAGAGAAAATAAATGGCACTTTCCTGGAAAATCTATACCATGTGTAAGCAGAGATAAATATAAAATGGGAGTGGACAAAGTCAATGGGTCAAATACATGGTAGTTATCAAATAGAGAGGAGAAACAGTTTTGAATCAATGAAGAGAGAATTAAAAGAAGATGAAAGATGGAGGAGTATGGAGAAAGGAGAAGAGAGCAAACCCAGGTGGTATTTAAATGAGGGAGGTGATGCTGAGGGCGGACAATACATTAAGGGCTTGAAATTCAATAAAAAATTTTGTCAAAAACTGCTTTCTTTATTTAAGGTTGGAGGGTGGAGTCTTAGCTCAATGTACGTAGTTGGTGAATTACTCAGAGGTTCTCAGAGAGTTTGGCTAGAAAATAGTTCAAGTGTCTCGGTCACTGTTCCAATATTTTATATGACAGAAGCGTATGATCCAATTTAAAAATTGGAGACTTTATAGAATGAATGACGGTCCATTAATAATGATAGTGGTTGACAAGGACCAAGGCCTGACCAAGGCCTGACCTAATAAGGAGTCCTTGAGATTCCAATGAGATATATTCTCTCTCAATCATCATAAACCACAAAGAAAAGAAAGTCTCACACCCCACATGCAACCCACCATTGAATATCCTTAATCAAAAGGGTGACGGTTGATGAAAATGTTGACTCTGATTAGTAGTGGCATCTGCAAAACACTTTTATCCTTTGGTACCGCCTATCTTATTTGAAAAGCTTTGGCCAAAAAGAAGGATAGTAGTCTATACGTTAAGAGAAAAAATTCTAGTGGGTCCTGAATTCCTGATAGAGTAGTGCCTTATAGCAAAGTCAAATTCGTGTGCAGTGCTATCTTCTATTAGAAAACAGAAAAAGGTTCAGAACCGACACACGTTCATATTTGGCTTGTTGACAGGCAGCAGAAAGAGATCAACTTATGTGAGAAAAAACAGACACAATCACCCTTTGCTTTCCGAGTTTCAAAAAGTGTTTCACACATTAGTCAAAGGTTGAGGCCTTGTGGCGTTTGCCAGAAGAAACTTCCCACAACTTTTGGACAAAATTTACCAACTGTTTGAAACTTCCCACAACTTTTTCATCTTGGGCCTCATTTCAATATTATGCAGCTTCTTTCCAGCTTTGGTTAAAGCAATAACTATCTCACAATATATATATATATATATATATATATATATATATATATATATATATATATATATATGTTTGGTTGGATTTGTAGTTGCACTATACTTGGAAGTAAGGGTAATTCTATACGAAAGGTATCCATCCTTTCAAGAGATTGAATAGATTGGAAAGATACGTCAAATGAAAAATTAAATTTAAATGATTTTCCTAAAATACATTTCCCGGTAGGATAATTCAACCTATTGCAAGGTTGCTATCTCAATAGAATTTTTAGTTAGGAAATGTTGAATATCAATCAAAGATACGTGTTCATAGTTTCTAGGATGTATGCATAATGTATGTTTGCTGGAGTAGTTTAGTCAAATTAATTAGGTGAATAAAAACCTTTTCATGCGTGTAAGTATGTATCTTTGATATTGCTAAAATAATGGGAATGAATAGCTATGCATTTTAAAAACATAATTACATTGTACCCAAAAAAAAAAAAAAAAAACTTAATTGCAATATTACTACAAGGATTCCTTTCCCTCTCTCTGTAGACTGAATTTTGGGCACAGCAAATGTAGGTATATGTTGTCCAAAATAAAGAAAAGTTTTGAGATATAAATAAAAATATAAGTTAAAATTGAATTTAAAAGGGAAAAAAATTTTCACTTAAAAAAAAATGTACCCAAATAAATATATATGTTGTAACTAAGAAATTTTCCTTTCTGGACAAGTTGGGTTCAGGTTGGAGAGAGGTCTCATCTAGAAAGAGTCAAATTGCATAACTATTCCTTCATTGAGAAGTCGCAGACAATAGGCTGTGGCTATTGCTACTATTGTCAATTTCTAGGTTGAATGTAACATATGACTAAAACTCTTTTTTTTCAGATTTTGTTTTCTCATTTAAAATTCCAATTCAAAGTCTTGGTCTCCAAGCTTGTTGACTTAAGTTTTATTATTTTGAGATGCAATTTTTTTTTCGCATTTATTATGATAGCAGCACATGTCCCCCTTGTTGCACATATATCTGCAGCTAGTTAATGGCTTCTATGTTTACAGTGAAATATTGAACCACTTATGTTGAGGGAAAATAATACAAATAGTAACAATAATGTGTCGAGGAAGAGGCACATGCACATGATAAGAATGCAACAGCTGTTGGTAGACAATTTACTAGGGACAAGAGCTGAGGACGCACAAACTTTAAAGAAAAATCCTTAAGTTTTCACAATAATTGTACCTGTTCTGTCAGTTTAGGACGTAACCTGGTGGTGTTTAATTTCACTTTTTATTCGGAGGTGTTATTTTCTCCTTTCAAAAAATTTCTCAGTTCCTAACATTAAAATTAAGGCCTAGGTATATTTGTGAAAATGTCAGGAAAAGTGATGTGAGTATTGTCTTTACCCATGTTTGATAGGAGATTTGTCATTATTTGCCTTGGTATCCAATTTACCTAGGAAATAAAGTTGTGAAGAAATTGTGATCAATTTTCGTTCTAAAATTACCTCCGAGTGGTATTTGTGAATCACCGGAAACAAGGAATTGTAGTCTAGAATTTTTGGACATGTCTGCCCTTCCATTTTGACAACTTGTCTACTCACCTCCTTCAACATACTCACTTCCTTAGATCTCTGTGAGTTTTCTTGAGTTGTGTCCATGGTTTGTGTTTTGTGATTTATGTGTGGTTTGGAATCATATTTGCAGAAATTCATTTATTTTTCACTCTTTTTGGGTTAATGGTTATTTTGTACGTTATTTTCCTTGTTCACCCAACCCACCGCTTGCACATGCAACAAAAATGTTGATGAAACAACAACAGAAAGATTTGCTCTAAAACCTGCTTTTCCTTTGTATGGTTCATACGATGCTGGAAATATCGGAGAGAGAGATGAGATGAGGGTTATTTTGTAATTTGGCCAACATTCCCATCAATATTAAACCATAAACCAAACACACACTCAGTAAATTTAACCAAATAATCCTGGTAAAATTTTGTTATACCAAACAACTTTTTTGCAATATTCCTAGGTAATCTATTTTTTCATCATATTCCTAAAAATCATGATTTCCAGACACCAAAAAATTTTTCCTCTACCAAATGCCCCTTATAGTTAATTATATAAATGCTTGTATTTGCAATTCTAAGACCATCCAAGTACCCAAAAATAAAAAAATAAAAAAATTCTAACATAATCTATATCCCATGATGATAGATTATGGCCCTTCTCAATGAAATAAAATAATTTTTTAATATAATTATAATTAACTACTATTCATTCTATGCCAATAATGATTGGCAAAAGTAGTAAGGGCTAATTGCAGGGTTTAAATCTAATTATGTCTAAATCTAATTATGTCTGTTGAACATGAAGATTTACCCCAATCTTAGGATGAGACAGTCTTTGCTAGAATTGTCAAAACAGGTCAATCTGACCCATTAAATCCTAGCCCGTGTCGGTTATGTTACATAAAAATTACTATTTGTTAAATATTATTATTATTATTTTGTTGTTAATATGGTTATCATACTTTAACATAGTTGTTATTTCGAGGATAATTTCAACAACAACAAAACGCTTATTAAATCAAGCACCAAAAACAGAATCATAGAGTGAATAGAAATTGTATAGCTACTATAAATAACCATTTTAACCCAGCAACTTAAAATGTTGGGTTAGACTATATTCATAGTTTTATACTAGTCAAACATGTCCCATCTCACGAGAACCTATTGGGTTTTTGAAGGATGAATAATGCACAGACTTACCTACCTGTTCTAATAAACTCCAAAAGATTTAATTAATTATTAATTAAATGGGAGGCAGTGAGGATCAGAACCGTGATACCGAGACTCTGATACCATGTTAAAAGAGTACCGTTATGGGTCTTTGTTTTCATTAATCAATCAGCCTTACATGAGGTCCTTTTACACAATACTATAATTTGAATATGTAACAATTAACTATGAAATAGGAAACTGACTTTTATTCCTATCAACATAAAACATAATAACAATCTAATCAGCCAGTACACAGATATTTAAATTTGAATTTAAACTATTATGATTTAACACCTCCCAAGTTGGTGCAAAAATATCCATTAAGCTCAACTTGCCAATTACTTCTTTGAAGACTTTTATAGGTACAACTTTAATCAAAACATCATCAAGTTGATTTTTTGATCTGATAAACAGAAAGTGAATTATTTCATTATCCAACTTTTACTTGATGAAATGTCTATCCACTTCAATATGTTTAGTTCTATCATGTCGAATCGAATTGTGTGCAATCTCAATGGCAGCTTTGATATCACAATGCAATTTCATAGGTTGTTCATAGCTAATTCCTAGGTCCTTTAGAACGCTTTTCACCCATAGTAATTCACAAACTTCTTGTGCCATACCTCTAAATTCAGCTTCTGCAATTGACCTTGCTACAACTTTTTACTTTTTGCTTTTTGCTTTTTGCTTTTCCAAGTGACCAGATTGCCTTCTACAAAGGTAAAGTAACATGAGGTAGATTGTCCGCTAGTCTTATCTCCTGCCTAATCAGAATCTATATATCCTTCAATGGATGAAGTGTTATTTTTCGAAAACAACAGTCCCTGCCCTGGTGTTCCTTTTAAATACCTTAAGATACGATATATTGCATCCATGTGATCAATACTTGGAGCATGCACAAATCTGCTTATGAGACTAATAGCATAGGCAATTTCAGGCCTAGTATGAGATAAATAAATTAGCCTCCATACTAATCTCTGATATCATCCAATGTCTGTTATTGCAACTTGATTGGGAAATATGCCAAGCATG